TAGCAGTGAGTCATATTCTCGGATCCTGTCCATGCGAATACGCATAGCAGTGAGTCGTATTCTCGGATCACGATAGCAGTGACGCATATTCTCGGACATATTCTCGGAGCTACCAAACTATGGAGTATGCACACGCTGGAAATAGAAATAGCCACACGAATTACAAACAAGACACAATCCCCATAAAGTTTGCATCGTAATGTAATGATAAGAACCCGGCACATTTTTAATGGAAACAAACACAGTAAATCAGGCAGATTAATCTTTGAATTGTTTGATTAATCTTGTTTCTTGGATATCGAATATATTTGAAAAACTCTTTGCAATGTATACAATGTAAGTTGCCCTTTTGAACTCCTGGTGCACGTATGCCAAGTTCCGGTGCACGTTCATCGTAACAATACATGGCACAAGGCTTTTTACATCTTTTGTGGGCCCTAAACGAGCATTTCATCAATCGCATGCACAATTTGAGGACACATTCACGTGGGTCGTATGAACCCTGGACAAGAAAATATGTTTCGTCTGTTTGTTTGTTTTATTACTTCTCATCAAAGGGTTATTGAATTACATGAACATCGTTATAGGTAACATGACCCAACACAACATTAAACCTAAACCTAATTCTATTTTAAGCGACCCATGAAGATCCGGGGTAGAATAGGTCTTCAGCAACCCATGCTTGTCGTAAAAGGCGACTATGCTTGTCGTAAAAGGCGACTATGCTTGTCGTAAGTGGCGACTAACGTGATCGGGTGGTGAGGTTCGCTGACTTGGTTGATGCATGTCATCCATCCCAATTGCGTGGATTGATACTCATAATATCAATCACTGGATTGTCTGGTCCAGACTCGATTATTTACAGACCGCCGTCATGTAGCTGGAATATTGTTGAGTGCGGCGTTAAACAACAAACCAACCAAACTATTTTAAGCCTATCGGATCCTACAAATATCGAAAATAGTTCATTGTTATTTTCACACTAGTCTATCGTATGTTGTATTGACGAGTAATATGCAATCATTTACTTAAATTTCAAACAAAAATAACTTCATCAGTTCCCTTGTACATTAACTGAAGTGTTGGTTCAAGATGACGTTGGGTGTATATTTGACAACCAGCTCTCGATTCCTTATATTCTGCAAATATGTACAAGCTTTGATACAACCAACACAAATTAACACTCAAGCTAAGGGTGTATTCGTTTTACTCCTCCAAAAACAAAAGAACGCACATTTAATATCGGGATGTAGAACGACGTTGTCGTAATTACGACTGCCCAGCAATACTTGCCCGAAAGTGTTCACTGAATCAATCTACTACTCGCTATGCGGCGTCGCCGACGGCGGCAAGTCTTACTGCAGCTTATGTAACGGCATTGCCCACAACTGCATCTGTGGTATTTACATAGCTTGTCCTCTTCACGAGCCCGACTTGTTTCTACGCAGCATAAGTTGATTCAAATGAATGCTAGAATTTCTATCGCCCAGAAGAAAGTGTGATTGGTGGGGTTTTGTGCTGTCGGCAGCGAAAGATTCATGTCCGGAGCAGGCAAATCGAATGTTGATTGTTTGTTTGTTTGTTTGTTGTTTAACGCCGCACTCTGCAGTATTCCAGCTATATGACGGCGATCTGTAAATAATCGAGTCTGGACCAGACAATCCAGTGATTGACTTCACGCAATCGGTATACGATGACGTGCATAAACTAAGTCTGCGAGCCTGACGACACGATCCCGTTAGTCGCCTCTTACGACAAGCATAGTCGCCTTTTACGGCAAGCATGGGTTGCTGAAGACCTGTTCTACCCCGGATCATCATGGGTCGAATGTTGAGTGTGTGAATGGCGATCCACGACCCCACTGATGGTGAAAGTGAAGCACCAAGGTCTCATAGGAGCAGTCGCCCTACAGTGTGTCCCTTACTTGGCGTATGTTGCTGTCGTTCAACACCAAATGATCCCATGGTCGTGGTTCGATGCCCAACCCGACCACGATAATGTCCCATGGTCTCTGAGTGCCACACACGGTATGCATCCTCGCATATAAAGCCGGGATATAACTAAAATACATTTCGAAGCGGCGATAAACTCAATTCCTGTCGCCATCATGACCAGCAATCGCCACTGCGCTGGAATTCTTAAGAAACGTTTAAATTCTAAATACAAATTGTGGTCAACGATGAAAGTTTCGATGAGCGGGTTTAAAATACACCCGAAAATACTGACAGAAAGACTGTTTTTGTGTTGTTGTTTTTTTTATTATGTTTGTTCATTTCTCTCTTCGTCACAATAAACATGAACTAATATACACATACAACTATTGAGTTAAAATGGTAACGAGCCACTCTTTACAGGATTATGAGTGATTGGTATAAATACGTTATGAAAAGTATTAAAGAGTTTGATTTTTCCCACGTTAAACCATCTTCTGACAACACTTCCTAATTAATTGGGGCGGTCGGGTAGCCTAGTGGTTAAAGCGTTCGCTCGTCACGCCGAAGACCCGGGTCCGATTCCCGACATGGGTCCAATGTGTTAAGTCCATTTCTGGTGTCCCCCGCCGTGATATTGCTGGAATATTGCTAAAACCATACTCACTCACTCCTAATTAATTCATAAACATATATAATAACTAATCTTCAACGCGAGTGCTTCTCATTTATTTGGAAGGGTAAACCCGGCAAAATTAAAAGAAATACATGTATAAAAGAATACAAAGATGGCAGGCTTAGAGTACCATTGATCTTAGACACAATTCAAGCCCCAAAAATATCATGGATAAGAACTAAAAACACAAATCTCAAACATCTAATTGATATATTAATTCGTAATTACACCTTGCACCCAACGGAGATGGGATCAAAATACTTGAAAAATAACTTTTTACATTCGATCAGAAAACCGTTTTGGAAAGATGTATATGAATCGTGGTCAAAACTACAGTCATGTAAACAAACAAAATCTAGAGATATTCTCACACAATATATATGGACAAATGATATCAAATTAAAAAATATGTCAATTTTAAATATGCACTATTTAAAAGCAAATGTTAAATTTGTTAACGATCGTCTGAAATGAGATACATTTTTGAGTTATGATGAACTCACTGAACTGTATCAACTAAAAACCAACATTCCACATTTACGCAGGTTTTGCACATAACAAATCGATATCTTTTGAAAAACAAATAGAATCGCCCTTTATTCCTCAAAACCTAGAGATACTATATAAGGAAGATAAAGGATGTAGGATATTTTATTCAAATTAAGCAAATAATCTAAATATACAGGAAAACATTCGCAGTGAAACAAAATGGGAAAATGAAATTAATCCCGCAATAACAAATGATTTATGGAAAACATATGTTTACATTGTTTTCCATTGGTTTCAATACCGAGTGGTTCATAGAATTTTCACAACTAATAAAGATGTATATATCTATTGAATAAAACCATCACCATAATGTACTTTGTGATGTTGAAGTTGAATCTATTATTCATCTGTTGTTTGAATGTTACATGCAAAACCGTTGTGGCACAACTTGATAAAATGGATAGAAAACCTTACTGGCACAAAATTGGAAATAAATAAGCAAAATGACGTATTTGGATTTAGGAAAGACATCTTCCCGAGGAAACTGGACTTTTAAAGTCAGTTAACTCCCTTGCCTCGGGAAGATCAGGAAAGACGAAATGACGCTCTAAACCTGATTTTCATTCTAAATAAATTATACATCTACAAAAACAAATGTACGAATGAGGTGAACTTACTTTATCCGCATCACTGATATTGGTATCTAATATCTAATAAGTTACCATGTAGACAAGAAGTAAAATTTATTAGCTGGGCTCTTTCATGGCAGTAATGTGGACAAGTGGACAATGAAGTGCAACATGAGATTCATGTGAGAGGGGGTGGGGGTGGGGGTGGGATGTGGGGGTGTGAGTGGAGAGGTGTGGTGTGTGTGTGTGTGTGTTGGTGTGTGTGTGTGTGGGGGGGGGGGGGGGGGGGGGGGGGGAGTCTAAGTTTGTTTCCTCCGATACCTCTTATCCCACGCGGCTGGAGTCATTCTTGATTCCATCTTTTAATAAATTCTTGGAGAACACTGTCATCCCTTCTCTTATGATAATATTTTTTATCATATTTCTTTTGAAGCGGGATACAATGTTGAAGCTGCAAATGACCGTGAACTAAATAAATGCAAAACTGATCCAATTTGAGGTCTAAGATATATCACCAACCCCTGCCGACATGTTGGTACAAGAACACTGCATGCATCTCGCGCACGTACGGAGTCACAGTAGATGATGCAAAGAAGCAGAAGATGCAGAGGGAGTGTAGTCAAATACGTTTTGCCACGGAACAGTTCGAAAACATGATCAGACATCAGATAATCGCTTTTGGTCTCGGTATTTCATTACGAGTATGAGTATATGTCTTTTTATAAACATAAACAATGTGTTTCACCAGAATATAATTGATACAGAATACGATTTTTAAGAATGGTATTCTGTATGAAAATATGTTGTAAGAGGTGCTTAACATTTTTCTCAAGTATATAATGATTTGTCTCAATGCTTGTCATCTATCTATCTATCTATCCATCTATCTATCTATCCATCCATCCATCCATCCATCCATCCACCCACCCACCCACCTATCTATCTATCTATCTATCTATCTATCTATCTAAACTAACGGGGCTTGAATCGCTATTTTGAATATGATGGTATCGACAGTCGACCGACATTCTTACTGTAATACATGTAGTTTTGTTGCTATATATCGTTTTAGAAATAGTGAGTTTAAATGGCATAAGACTATGCACATGTGATACTGATACTGAAGCATTTCTAGCAGACTTCTAATTACATCTCTCACAAAGGCGTGATGAATATTGCAACTTCTAAGGAGGGTTGCTCTAACCGCGCCAACATCTTCAACGCGGTCAAGTAAAGCAAGCCGACACGAGTTATCTCCCTTGTTTTAGCAGGCAACCACTTCCGCATGAAACTGCCTCGCGGTCAGCAAAGTGAAACATCACATTGCTGCAACGTACAAGCTGTGACATGGGGCGATTTACTTCCAGAATCATGGAACCCGCTGTCCTTGTCAACTTTAGTGGCTTCTTGGTAATGTAGTCCATGTCGAACGACTCATATTAATATTAGTGAACCCATGGTTCCGACAGGAGCAACACTTGAATTAAACACCACGCGCTGGGTCCACAAAGATTGTTATGAAACAGAGTGAAACGGTACACCAGGTATCATGCCTCTGTCGGACAATATTGGACTTGATTGTCAGATCATCAGCAATGCGGATGTCCGTATGACACGAAACAAGAAATATGTTACATACTTCGTCATTTTCTATATTTACACAAACTAACAGTGAACGTTTCTACTCAAGTGAAGATCACAGACTCCCTTCATGCTCCCGTAAAGATCCGGGTTAAAATTCGTAACACATGCTTGTCGTGAGAGGCGACTTACGGGATAGGATGAAGTCAGACTTGTCCACTTGTTTGATTCATTTCATGTCAAGCTATATGCCGACAGTCTGTAAATAATCAAATCTAAACCAGACAATTCAGTGATTGACATTATGAGCATCTATCCACACAATTTGGATACAGTGACATGCATCAACCAAGTCAGCGAGCCTGACCACCCGATTCCATTAGTTGCCTCTTATGACAAGCATAGTTGCCTTTTACGGCAAGCATGGGTTGTTGAAGACCTATTCTACCTCGGATCTTCACAGGTCCCCCTGAACATAGTGGGGTTTTAGGCTACTTTGAACAATATTTCTATTATTTTATGCTGATTCAGCTTTGAGGAGGATCCCTGAACATAGTCCTCCTTTAAGCTGAATCAGCATACAATAATAGAAATACTGTTCAAAGCAGCCTTAAACCCCACTGATTGGACCATACAACTGCCATAAAAGAAGTAGCGAAACGTGTTTGAAAAACCAGTATGTGTAGAGGTGCATGTTAGTCCTATGATGCTGAGGCTGCTTGTACAGAATGCTCTGTTCCTGGAAAGGAGAATCATGTTATGTTCACCTGCCCCTTATATAACGATGTAAGAGAAACGTTCAGTCACCTGTTTGTTAAAGGGCCAGTAAAAGCAACTTTGCACATTTCAATACTGTAGGGCATACTTACTTACAAATGCTTGACCCAAATTATATTTGAAAAACAGTAATAACGTAAAACAGACGATAAAAAATTGACAGACAAAATTGTCCCCCACACTAAAAATTCTGCCACTGCGGGGATTCCCCTTACTGGGGGTTAAATGGGTTCCCGGCGTTTGACATACTGCGCAATCTCAATAATCATGACGATCAGACTGATGCCCAGTCTGCCTCCTTCTACCTCAGATTTTTTAATACATTTCCTCTGTTCATCCATTTGATTGTTGTCCACAACTTATGTCACCTCAGTGACAACACTAAAGATGCTTTCAGTTTTTTAGTCAGGGAATAAATGCCTGACAGGCATTTATTGTGTGGAATAGTGCCAAGGTGTTTTATTTCCCAAACAGGATGTTAATCATAAATGAATTGTTATTTTAATTATTCACAATGTCAAAATCAAGGATTGTTTCACACATTCAACAAAGTATGAAATGTTGTTTTATTTGTAGGATTAACAGAAATATCATATGTATAACAGCTAAGAATCACAAGATAGATAAACGTGGCAAACATCAGCCAATGAAAAGAGTTCTCACCATTGCTGCGGTAGCAGCTTAAGGGCACACTCCCAAATAGGTTTGTTTTGGAGGCCGATTACGGAGCGTGTGATTTCAGAACTTTCATTTGGTCATCTAAATACTTTCTACAAATTTTATTAATTTTTCTCTCTCAAAAATTGACTAAATGTATGTAGGAAAATTGATATTCGCAACAAAATCGCAAATCATATTTTTTACTTTACTTGCTCTTTGACCTATATATTTTACCTGACACGTAAAAATCCGGGGTAGAATCCCAACCCATGCTTGCTCTAAAAGGCAACTAACAGGATGAGGGTGGTCATGCTCACTGACTTGGTTGATGCATGTCATCGCAGCCAATTTGCGTGGATCGTTGTGCATGATGTCATTCACTTGATTGGTTGGTCCAGATTTGATCATTTACAGACCGCCGTCATATAGCTAGAATATTGCTGAGAGCGGCGTTAAACAACAAACAAACAAACAAACTACAGCATGACAAAACTGTACATGGAGAGATAAAAAGACAAAGTTTATAGTCCAGCGTAGTGACAGGTGACCTGTAACAGGTTAGATGATTGCAATTATTTTTTAATATGGGTGGTATGGCCTGAAATACAATAATAATCTTGATTCTTGAAATACCAAAATAAGAACACCTCAAAAGTAACTTTCCATTGAAGTTTTGAAAAGCATCTCAACCATATATTCCATTAGCAGAATTGGTGAGTTTAATTCTTTTACAGTCTCTTCCAAGAACTTTTGAGTCTACTGGTCTGAAGAGTTTTAATTCTTATACAGTCTCTTCCAAGAACTTTTGAGTCTACTGGTCTGAAGAGTTTTAATTTTATACAGTCTCTTCCAAGAACTTTTGAGTCTACTGGTCAGAAAAGTTTTAATTTTTATACAGTCTCTTCCAAGAACTTTTGAGTCTACTGGTCTGAAGAGTTTTAATTTTATACAGTCTCTTCCAAGAACTTTTAAGTTTACTGGTCTGAAGAGTTTTAATTCTTATACAGTCTCTTCCAAGAACTTTTGAGTTTACTGGTCTGAAGATTTCTGAAGTCCTTTCCATAGATTTTAGTGTTAATGGAATCAATGCTTTCCTTTGCTATGATACAGTTCCTTCAATTTCAGATATGACACAATAGTTGATAAATAGTTTGGATATACAAATTGTCAAGAGGGGATTTCCAAAATGAAACGCACAGGTTAACCCAGAAATCGGTTTGTACAGAACTAATTTGTGAAATCATAAATGACCAGACAGGATCAGTGACTTATCAATGCATTGTATTTTACTATAAGTACATGAAGGAAGGCCTAGAATTAATGTCAGTGCACTCACGATTGTCCAGAATTTGTAACGGTCAAATGACTTGAAACAGGCTTGTTTCTGTTCGTGAATCCGAAATGGTGATGGAAGCCGACAGGAACTCGGTGTTCTTCAAAAAGGAGCGAGTAAGCAAGTGAGTTGGGTACAACGCTGCTGTGAACAGTCTTCTACTTATGTCAGTCCGCTTGAAGTGGGAGAAAAGACCAAAGTGATGGAAGTCTTGGACGTTAACCACCTTGTGAAACCACCTTGTGAAACCACCTTGTGAAACTCAGGGTTAAGGGTATTGTGCTGACATATCTTGAAACATAATCAAGTCAAATCGGGATTCAAACCCACAGTCATAGGTTTTGGGCAAGCCGAGGGAGACAACTCTGCACGGCAAATTGTGGCATCTTAGATGACTGGGCCACCCGCAGCCCCCTTTTTAGATAGGAATCCAATCCTCAATGGGTGGCATGCGTTAAACCCAACTCACTCACTCACTCACTCACTCACTCGTGTATAATCTGGACAGCAGGCCTGTCGTGAGCATCCTAGTTAGGTTCACATTTGCCCTCACTCATGCATCAGTGAGAAACTGACACATGATAAAACTGTGAAATGACACAAATGTTTGCTCCATTTCTGCTCCGTGAAACTTAGGCCTTCTATTCTATAAGTTGGTGTGCTGATTTGTTTTCTGAGCCTAGTTCAGCAAGGGTGGAAACTGGACTTTTAAAGTCAGTTAACTCTCTTGCCTCGGGAAGATGCTATGGTATGTGACCGAGTAAAAGCGTTTACGTTTCGTAAAAATGGTATCTAACGAGAATGAGTGTAGTATTCTGTATTTATCACCTAATAATAATATTTTAGGAATAAATGTGAGAAAGAGTGTGGTATTATGTTTATTATCCACATTACCGGTAATTATGTATTTACACTTAAATACATAACAGCTTTCATTCATTAACAGACCAAACTGAAACCGGTTGTAAGTCCGATTGTGTATGAATATTGACACATGCCCTAATATGGGCATTGTTGACATTTCTATACATACACATTAACAACATGCTCCTGCTATTGTGTGCTGAAGATCTTTATTTAAGAATGGCTTCAACTTAGGGTAGTTCAGGCACATTGTTGTCAGTATACAAGACAGCTGTAAGAAAACTTAAGAAGTCAAACAGTGTCACACTTTGAATCTCGGAGCAACAGTCGGTTACTAGCAGCACCAGGATGCCAGCAGGGATCGGTTATCTTTGATCTGTCAGCTGAATTAATATCCTGGGTTGTTACGTGTCTGTTCCCAAATTGAAAAAATATGGTAACCCAGAAATCTGTATGTAAAAGAACTTGAAAAGTGTGAAACCAACAAACAACCAACAAACAACCAACAAACAACCAACAAGTGGTATACTATGAACAAATGTATTACAAAATTTAACTAAATTTACAAATCAATACAAATTACTGCACAACAATTACAATGTCAGTAAACAATAGAGTGGTAGTACAATATTCAATGACAGTATATAATATGATGGCAGTGGTCAGTATTAAATACAAGAATACAGTGGTGATAACAAAAATCAGTGATGATAATATATTCACCCGACAGTGGCCAAGCTTCCGAGACAGGCCTAGGCAGGGATTCATTGGTGATGAGTGATCCGCACATGAAAGCTGGTCTTAATGTGATGAAATGTGTGAGAGACGAAATGGGAGAGAAATGACTAAGCACTCTCTTGTCCCCATATATACAGCCTAACTAGCAACTGGAAATTTCTACACAGTGTCCTCACCAGTCTAGCGGCACTAGAACATTCCAGATGTTTCTATAACACAATCACCGTCCACGGTATACGAGACGTTTTCACACCAAACAAGCATCTAAATATAGTAACTTCCTGAAGACATTAAATAGTACTACATTCCTGACGACTTATCACTGTCCAAATACAATGCAATGAGCGTCTACCGAATCTGAATAGGAACAATATAACACAGTTATAATCATTGTTCAACAATAAAATACTCTACCATATAACACTGTCCATACCATTTTGGAAGAATGAAATCAGAGTGCTCCACAAACACGTTCTTGTTAACTGTTCAACCCTATACTGAAGAACAACCAACTCCAGACTGCCTGCTTATCAGTAACAGTGTCACACAAAGGGCAAGGTCACCATCAGAATAAGAAAAGACAACCATGATCTACACACAGCATTGTACGCTAGGTATAGGGAATGTTATTGTTCACATTTAGGATGTTTTGTGCCACAATATCAGAAGTCAGGCACACAGCAACAGAGTTTTCGAATGATTTGTTTCGGAACTGTTCACTTTGAGTGATCTGATCGTGCAGTCATTTGCCGTGTTCCAGGACCTGTTCGGTGTCAGCATGATCATGCCTCTCATCCTGCCCCATGCCCGCAGCCTTGGCGCCTCCACCACCGTGGCCGGGATTCTTGGTAAGTTGAGAGTCAACTCATGTTGTGTCCAGTACATGGATAAGGTGCTGATCCTGAACCTAGGCAAACCTTTTTTCAACTTTTATCGACTTGTGTGGATGTATTTGATGTCAAAAGACACTCGATCAGGTGAGATTCTCAATCTTAAGTTTTTGATAAATCACTTGAACCATGTTGTAATTGTTTGCTAGTTTTCTGTTATCATGATTATGAATATTAATTTGAAATAATAGTCAGCCAATAGGATTTTAGTACCACAAAGTTTGTTTGTTGTTTAACGCCACACTCAGCAATATTCCAACTACCGGTATATGACGTCGGTCTGTAAATTATTGAATCTGGACTGCACAGGCCAGTGATTGATCTCATGAGCATAGATCCACGCAATTGGGATACGATGACATGCATCAATCAAGTCAGTGAACCTGACCACCCGTTCCCGTTAGTCACCTTTTAAGACAAGCATGGTCTCTTTACAGCAAGCATGGGTTGCTGAAGACCTATTCTACCCTGGATCTTCACGGGTTTATTTCCACAAAGACAATATTAGCAAAAGAACAATCAATCTTTCCCATGATGGTTGATATACATCTTTTATCCTATACAAATCCCGTTGATGTTCGCTTGGGCGAGAAATATGGTTTTATGCCACTTCAGCAATATTCCAGCAATATCATGGCAGGGGACACCAGAAATGGGCTTCACACCTGTATCAATGTGGGGAATCAAACCCGGGTCTAAGCACTGGGCTACCCCGCCGTCCCGCTTTGGCAGAAAGGTCCCCAGTTCCTCGGCCATGTTTTAGGACAATTCATTATTGCCATCATGTTTACATTGTAGGGGGTGGTCGGGTAGCCTAGTAGTTAAAGCGTTCGCTCGTCACGCTGAAGACCCGGGTTTGAATCCTGACATGGGTACAATGTGTGAAGCCCATTTCTGGTGTCCCCCCACCCTGATATTGCTGGAATATTGCTAAAAGCGGCGTTAAACCAAACTCACTCACTCACTCACTTACATTGTAGGGTCTACATACGGGGCCCTTCAGCTCTTCTCCAGTCCAGTCGTGGTGAGCCTCAGTTTTTACTTCTGTCCTATCTTGTGTTTGATTTAATGATTTTAATGAGTGAACTACCTTTGATTTTCAACTGTAGGGGATTGACAACTTTAATCATAAGGGGCGGTCGGGTAGCCTAGTGGTTAAAGTGTTCGCTCGTCACGCCGAGGACCAGGGTTCAAAGCCCGACATGGGTACAATGTGTGAAGCCCATTTCTGGTGTTCCCTGCCGTGATATTGCTGGAATATTGCTAAAAGCGGCGTAAAACCAAACTCACTCACTCACACTTTAATCATATTTCCTGTTATGGGGAGATGGTTTTGAATGCTGTATGATAACCCATACATGCTTCTTCTCTGTTTCCCACTTTACACCGACATGATAGACAAGCTGGACTATGAATGATGAGCAGCATACCAATATCTGTACTCACCAACAACAAAAATGTGAATGCTGTACATGCTGGTTAATATATGAAGAATTACTCATATTCAAGTTATATTGGATTGGTTCGATGCACAATCGAACATGATGCCATGTTGTGTGAACTGACACTCATGAATGCATGTCTCGTGCAGGATTAGCATGTTAAGTTTGGAAATTATGGGCAGCATATTGTGATAAGAATGAAGACGCTGTGGTGACACTTGACTGATTGTCTGTTTTGTCTTTAAGTGGTACACATTGAGTGAGTGAGTGAGTATGGTTTTGCGCAGCTTTTAGCACTATTCAGCATTATTAAAGGAAATGGGCTTCACACACTGTACCCATGTTGGGAATCAAAACCGGGCCTTCTGCATGACAAGTGAACTCTTTAACCACTAGGCTACCCCACCGCCCCCTGGCACATCTCTTCTAAACATCAGGGATGTGAGCAGGTTTTGCCGAAAAAAGAGGAACAGTCTAGGGGGGTCTGGGGGTATGCCCCCCCCAGAAATTTTTAAAACATTTGATTGCATTTTAAGCAATTTCATACAGTTTGGACAACATTCACACCAAGAAATGTAATAAGTCAATGGCAAAAGTCAATAAGTGAAATAAACAAGATGGCAGATGCAGTAAAATTTTGAAGTTAAATCAGTACTTTAAAAAAATCGGGCATAGCTTTCGCGCACCTGGCTACCCGCCAGGTCTGGGAGCAATACTGCCATAAACTTCAACCCCCATCCCCCAGACACAAGGACAACTGTCACAAGCGTGCAATGTCTGACCCTTTCCCCATGTTGAAGCATATTGAAAAAAACTTACCTTGTACTTACCTTTTGATGAAAAAAACAAAACTCCATTGCAAACATAAGACATTAATACAATATATATCCCCATGACATGGGGTTTTGGACGATTCATAAATTTCTCGCTTATCACATGAACAACTGTAAAACATCTCATTCACTTACAGGCTAAAAGACAACTTTATCTTAAAAACAAGCCATCAGCTGACTCTGAGTATTTACAATTTCTGTGTGACGCCACATCCCACGTTATAGTGCAAGTATTCGTGACAGAAAACGTATGATGTCCGAAAACCTATGCTGTGAAAGCTCCGACCGCGCCAATTGTCCGGTTTTCGATCATATTTTTCGGAGTGGTTTTTTAAAAAACATTAATATTTTTTTCCGCGGAAGATGATTTTTTCCGAGGACTACTGTTTTAAAAAACGCGATTTTCCGCGTTTCCGCGGAGATTTCACATCCCTGAAACATACAGGGGCTTGGGGTAGCCTAGTGGTTGAAGCGTTTGCTCATCACGCCGAAGTCCCGGGTTCGAATCCCGACATAGGTACAATGTGTGAAGCCCATTTCTGGTGGCCCCCGCCGTGATATTGCTGGAATATTGCTAAAAGCGGCGTAAGACCAAGCTCACCCACTCACTCACTCTAAACATAAATTCTCCTCTTTATGTTCCTATGGTTCGCGGTTTTTTTGGCGGTGAGCATAGAATCAATTTTTCAAAAGTCAAAATAAAAGGTGAAAGATCTGATAATGCAAGTTCTTATGGAAAAACAGAAACAATAATATGGCATTTTTACCTCATAAGTTGGTTTACAGACCAACCAAAAACCCCTGAGATTATAAAATTTACAAACTGACGTGTGACCAAACAAAATATTTGGTCAACAATTGGGTGAAATGAAAAACAGTTAAGGATAATGAATATTTTTGGGGAATTTTTTTTTAGTGAAGATAAAAAATATCCCAAAAGATATCAGCCTTCTGTTCAAGGTATTCAAGGGTTTAAATGTTTCTTTAAATAATTTCAGTAATCCTATGCATTAACATTATGCAGGGGTTGGGAGGGGTGGCCTAGTGGTTGAAGCATTCACTCATCATGTTGAAGACCCGGGTTTGATTCCCCTCATTGGTACAAAGTATGAAGCCCATTTCTGGTGTCCCCCGCTGTGGTATTGCTGAAATATTGTTAAAAGTAGCGTAAATAACAACTCACCTCACCTTATTTTGCAGGGAAGGGATGGGAAGTTCTTTCCTTGCCGATGCATGTATTGAACTGCTGTCACCCGTGCAATATTGATTTGGGGACACATGCATTAGAGGGGCGGTCTGGTAGCCTTGTGGTTAAAGCGTTCGCTCGTCACGCCGAAGACCTGGGTTCGATTCCCGACATGGGTACAATGAGTGAAGCCCATTTCTGGTGGCCCCTGCCGTGATATTGCTGGAATATTGCTAAAAGCGGTGTAAAACCATACTCACTCACTCACTCACTCACTCACTCACTCACTCACTCACTCACTCACATGCATTAGAATAAAATTTCATCCTTGTAGATTTGGTATACATGGTTTGCACTGATATCATCACATGTATACTCAACCAAAAAAATTAGGGATCATGAATTTCTGCTGACGAGTCGGAAAATTTCCTTCCTTGAAAAAGTCGTTATACAAATAAGTCCAGTATTTCAGCAGTGTAAACAGGTCACCCAGCTTGAACTATTAGGAGAGAAAATAATCTACCACATTAGAGGAATTACCAGAGGGATGACTCACTTTCTTGCAAAGTCATCCGATTCTGAGATTTTGTAACCAACTTTTTCGGGTTTTAATTAGCGCATGTTTTTTCCCCATTGATCTGTTATATGTACAGCTTGCAGTGTGTGTAGTCAGGCTTATGGGGGCATCACTTGTGGGTCTTCTAGCCACAACCCATATGAAATTGCTCATCTACTTGTATAATACAAGCTCCACATAATACCACTACGCTGATTGAGTCTTAGATAGATGCAAAGTTTCAATGTCGTCTCACAAGCAGCTTGATTAAACAAAGGATCTGATTCACTGATACATCCACTCCGAGGTATTAGCGTAGAACGTTTGCCCGGCTTACATTTCCTCGTACCACCTAGGTAATGAAGTTCTCGTACACAATGCCTTGGGCTCAAGAGGTGAAGGTCACATTGGTTTCTGCCGTCAGTGTGTCGTACATCAATCGGCACATGTGTGGCTAATCTCCGCATTGACAACATGACATTTACTTTGATTGGTCTCAAACAGCAAATATTTGTCTTGATCTTAGTGATAAAAGAACATCTATTTTCGTTAACTAATTCCATTGCCCCCTGTCGTTAGTTCTGAAGAATCATTTTTGTCTTTAGTTATGATCCCATCCCTGCAAACAGTCGCCTGCATATTTCATTTACTTTAATCTACTGGCTTCTCAAACTACAGACGAGTAAAGTTATTCTCATACACTTTCTGTTATCAGTAATGAGCAGGCATAATCAAAGTTAGTAGCACACAGAGTGGTAGATCTGCTAACTTGCTTGACTCAAATTGTGACGAGATAAGACAGCTTGATTCCCTTTCATTGGAAATGTCAGACACTGACAGCATTATAGAAGAAATCTGAATCTAAAACCATCTGTGCATTAGAGGTAATGAGTTTGTGGATCTAATATTCCTCCACACTCACGACACAATGTTGACGATGACCTTGGGGATATTCTGGGCTGGGTTATCAGAGCTCTGTAGCTTCATCATTAGTATGTAGCTTTTTGTGTGGTGTGGCTTAAAAGACATTACATGGGTTGCCATACTGTCCCATAGCCAGGCCGGACTCTATATAACTCGGTTTACAAATCCACCAACTCACAAAAATTGAATTGTGAAAAAATAATAATTAAGAGCAGTTTTTTTTAATTCTACAAACCAGAAATAAGTAAAATGTTTTTGAACTCAATACTATAATTAAAACCTGCAGAAAATGTATCTAATAACTTCCAAACACAATGGGTTATGACTAATGCCTTTTCCTCCCAACTCCATGTTTTTCTACCTGCTTAACATTTTGAGGAAATAAAAAAAAAATATTTGAAATTGGAGTGTTTTTTAATATTATTTTTTCAACTAAAAAATCTGTAAACCCAACAAAGTATAGTTTTGAGCTACTCTTAGCAATATTCAAGCAATATCTCGGGGTGGGACACCAGAAGTTGGCTTCGCACATTGTACCCATGTGGGGAATCAAACCCTGGTCTTCGATGTGACAAGCAAACGCTGTAACCACAAGGCTACACTATTGCCCAGATATATCAGATATATATGATGATAGATGCTCTCTCATTCATAATGAACATATTAAGATTCATGCCGTATGCACACAAAAATGTGTACAAATATAAAATGATTTCAAGTCTGCGAGCCTCTTCCTTTGTGTTAGTTCGCTATGTTGAAACACATTTGGAAAGCTTTCCTCCCACATTAAGCTAACATGCCGTGATATAACTGGAATATTGTTAAAAGCGGCGTTAAACCCAACTCACTCACTCACTCAGTTCAACAAAATAGGTAATAAGTTAAGGATAAAACATGACTGCAAAGGTTTTGTTGAAAATGTATAACTGCGAGTGAGGTTTTGCATTTTCAACCAAAACTGAGAAAGTGTGTTTTATCAAGCTTGTGAACCGACTAAATGTAAGAAATACCAGAAAAATAAAAAAACATTGGGATACCTTATAGTGAAACTATACAGTGTGTTGTGGTATAAAAGGAACTCGATCAAACAATAGAGTTTCACTACTTTTTGTCATTAAAAAACATATCACATGAAAAACCGTGGGTCCGGGTAGTACTGTGGGTACCCGGGTCCTACTCAGTACCCACCCGCCCCGAGTACCTGAGTTACCCATCCAAGCCCTAGTGCTAACATATATGTTACCTGTAACCAAAATATTGCGACCGAATGATTCAGATTTGAAATTGTTCTGCAACCTTCCTGGACCAGGCATCTTCCCGAGGCACGGGAGTTAACTGACTTTACAAGTCCAGTTTCCACCCTTGCCGAACTAGGCTGGAATTACTGGGCTCGATCGTAGCGCCACCAGTGGCTATTACCAGTTAAGTCCCTTCTCAGCCTCTCCTATGGACCAATGAGACTCCACCTCTCGTATCACTTGCGTTTGCTTCACACAAAATGGTGGAGCCTAGTCAGGAAGATCCGATCGATAATCAAGATCTATATTGTTATAAAAGAGGTCTTACATCGCAAAGTGCATGAAATCACGTGAGCACCTTGATTAAAAACATGAAAAGATTTGGAAAATATCAGCTGACAACAAGTTGGCGGTGCACATGCTTTGCAAATCCTGCAATCGACTGAAATTTGCACGACAGTAAACAATCCAGGTTTTCGATTTCGGTGCGCGATTTTGATTAGACTATGCATAGACTCGTTAGTCCAGCCAAAATGTAACTCCATAATACCAGCCTAGTTCGGCAAGGATGGAAACAGGACTTTTATAGTCAGTTAACTCTCTTGCCTCGGGAAGATGGGAAGATGGGACCAGGTGATGTGAGACGTGTTTGTTTGTGAAGGGCAAGTGGAGCGACATGGTGGGCAGACGAGTGAGTCTGCTGGTGACTCTGGTCCTCACAGGATGTGGCTATGGAATTATTGGACTCTCAACCTCCATCTTCATCATGGTCCTGGGCAGGATACCTGGAGGTAGGTCAGGAGCAGGTCTCTGTTGAGGTGACAGATTCGTGATGGCGTATATCTGGAACAGCCAAGGTCACCGCACAGTAAATTGAGGTGCCTTAGATGACTGGGGTGCCTGTGTCTAACACACACACACGCATGCACTAATTGTTTACATGTATTGGACGGAAGAGTGAGTATGGTTTTGTGCTGCTCTGTCTCTCATTTTTTTGTTAATTATTACAAAGCTCGCTGTCTCTCTCTCTCTCTCTCTCTCTCTCTCTCTCTCATTCTCTCATATTTTTGTGTCAATTATTACAAAGCTCGCTCTCTCTCTCTCTCTCTCTCTCTCTCTCTCTCTCTCTCTCTCATTCTCTCATAATTTTGTGTCAATTATTACAAAGCTCTCTCTCTCTCTCTCTCTTTATCTTTATTACAAAGTTGGAGCATGTCAATATTTATCTGTAAATGAAAAAACAAACCCTAAATAGAATATATGCTTCCTAATGCAACTCTGGTGTTAGACCTCTAGGGCACACGTGTTGTGTTTCACCCGAAGATTAGCTCTGCTTTCAATGCGGTTGTAAGCGGATAGGTCAGGTAATTGGCACCACTCCTAGCGGGTGGACGCTGATTGGTGATTACTGAAACAAACCTGCATAGAATGGTACTTCGGTCCACTGTATACATATAGCATTATGACTCCGTGAAGATTCTTAATGATGATCTATGCTCAATTCTGAATTCTGGCTTCATGTATGTTAAGAGATTGGGAGCCAAAGTAGAATGTTTTCTGAATAAAATAAATTCAAAATACCGTATTCGACGTAATAAGCGCCTCTCTCTAATAAGCGCCCACGGCGATATTTGCTAATATATTGGCTAGTGAACAATCCCAATTAGCACCCCTTCCGATTGATCAATGTACAAAAGACTTATTTATTCGCGTATAATACGCACTCGTGTGTTATATGCACCCTTAATTATGGGCAATTAAATCCTGGAATTATATAGCTGTCGTATATAAACATTTCAGGCTATCTTTCAACTCTGTTTTTTTTTTTTTACCAAAATAATATTCTAATAAGAGCCCCCTATTTCTAATTTTGAGAGCGCCCTGGGCGCTTATAACGTTGAATACGGTATGTTTACATTTACAAAATGCTCTGTCCTTATTGAATTCAACTCTAATGTTCTTTTATATAATGATATTGTCATCGACAAAACATATGTATCAAGTATTGAGACAAACAAATAAGTATTTGAGAACTTTATGAAGATTTAAGTGATATATTTCAGATATAGAAATCAATTACACACAAAAACAATGCAACAATATTATCAGTTGATCTCAAGCAGTATATGCAGGACTCTGTGCAATAACTAATAATATGCCTTTGGCTAGCATAATCTGGTTCTCTGATTTGATATTTTAGGTGGTACAGGAGGTCTTTATTTGAATTTCATACTATTGTCTCTGATGCATGAGAATGTCAGGATATGTTTGTGTTCAGCATTAACAGAATGCCATACCATCATTCTGAAATGAGGAACATAGTGAGGGTGGTGGAGCATCTTCCTGGGGCAAGGGAGTTTATTGACCATATAAGTCCAGTTTCCACCCTTGCCAAACTAGGGTGGAATTTCATGGCATGATTGAAGGGCCACCAGTGGCTATTATGAGTTATGTCCTTTGTATGTCCCTCCTATTGACTAATCAGATTCTGCCTATCATATAACTTGCATTAGCTTCAAAGAAAATGGCTGTGCCCAGTCAATATGATCTGATCGATAAACAAGACCTATCAAATTACTTGAGACATGAAAAGATTTGGAAAATATCTGTCAGCACTTGTTTTGCAAATCCTACAATCGAAAAAATTAGCATGGCAGTTAAAAAAGCGGGGATTTCACTCCAAAATTCCAGCCGAGTTCGGCATGGATGGAACCTCAACTTTTATAGTCAGTTAACTCCCTTGCCTTAGGAAGGTGGTGGTTGAGTGGTCAATGTGTTTGCTCATCGTATGGAAGACCTGGGTTTGATTCTCACATGGGTGTCATGTACACGCCTGGTATCCCCAAGTGTCATTTGGCTGGAATATTGCGAAAAGCAGCGTTGATCTACTCTCACATGATTACTGACGGCTCAGTTGTCTGTGTACTTACGTGCAGGAGAGTAAGGGGAGACAACCATGTGTGTCTAATGACCCTCAGATGTCTTAAATTTGCTCCAAGGTCTAAGTGAAACAATTCACTGGTGCAGCCATGATACAAACCACGTTAACATATTTTATCGTAAGATGAGGTGAGGTGATGCGTCCAAGGTTATTGCACTTATATAGCGACGTGCATGCACATGTGTGTGTGGCTGCTGGTACTAGTCTGGACTGATGCCGAGTTTTAGTGCTAGCCCACTGAGATACCATGCCACAATTTACCATACCCTACTCAGAAACAGCATACTGACTCCGAGCCAACCAGTTCTTCTTTTAGCCCCTGACTGGGTAACAACAAGTACCATCTTTTAACTTCTTTTCGTATGACGCAGCTGGGGATCGAATCCCGGACCTTCCACTCTTTGGCAGACCCTCTATCACTAAACCATGGCTGTCATTATTGTAAGATGATACACTTGCTCAAATATATTATTTTGCGTGTTTGAGGAAGAGCTGTTGTACAATGATGATAATGACGCGTGGTGATAAGAAAACATGCAACTTTCTGAAAAACAACTTCTGGTTTATTGGATTTCATGCATTTCTCACCAAATTCTAGAATGCCAATGAAACAGTTAGATGCATAACGATTCATTAACTTCATGCTCTGAAATATTTATATTCAAGAAGTTTCCGCACGACTTGACATGACTGTGTATTACGATACATATCGTATCTCGACCTATATATCATATAGTGACCTTGCTGTATCGTTTCACCCCTAGCAATGCCCAGCGAGCATGTTGGTGGTATGATCCCCTGGCTGTGTCATTCAAAAAGACGTTAAAAGGTAGCACTTGTTGTTGCCCTGCCTGGCACTCAGTGAGTGAGTGAGTGAGTGAGTTGGGTTTAAGGCCGCTTTTAACAGTATTCCAGTTATATCACGGCATGTCAGCTTGATGTGGGAGGAAAGCCAGAAGTGATGCAGGCCTCAGACGTTAACCACTTCGGTGAAACCCACGAGCACAGGTATGGTGCTGACAAACCTAGAAACATAATCGGGGTGAACCGGGATTCGAAACCACAGTCATAGGTTTCTGGCATGCCCAAGGGACGCAACTCTGCACAGCGTGGGGCATTAGACGACTGGGCTACCCGTTGCCCCCCCGTCCCCCCTGGCACTCAAAAGGGGGATAATACAAGAACTGGTCGTCTCTGAGTCAGTATACTTTGTCAAATGGGGTATCCATGTTAAACTGGCATGGTACCTCAGTGGGCTTGGCACTATAAAACCAGCATTGATCCAGACTATCGTATGTGCATGCACGTCGCTATGTAAGTGCAACAATATTGAATCTGACATTAACCCGATTTCTTCACCTCACCGTAAATGTTGTGGTATTTCCAGGGATATTTAAGCACAGTCAAAACATCTCAAAGTCATATCTGGCCGACATAACATCAAGGGAGAAGCGTTCGCATGTTTTTGGACAGTTTAATGCAGCCTCAAGCATCGGATTCATTCTGGGACCAGTGGTTGGCGGCCATGTTGCAGAATGGCCTGGAGGCTTCGCTGTGGTTGGAGTACTGGCAGCTCTGACCTTCTTCCTGAATGCTGGTGGGTTGATGCTGCCCTGTATTAGTACATTGGCCACAAATAGGCAGGAAACATCAAGATAGGTTCATTAATGGCCAGATGCTGTGGATGATGAAATCATGGGATATTTTTGATTAAATGTCAGACATGATTATTTGGGGAAATTCATCTTTTTTTCTCAATATTTTCTGAAACACTTTATGAAATGTTGATTGCATATTTGAAAATAATTGGATTCTTTGTCTGTTTATTTCAAACATACAAATATAACAAAACAAACTGAAGATTTTTAAGTGTGATGACAGTGGGGCTGGGACGAGTCCAAATTTACTACCCAGGTACCCATCACCCTATTCCCCGACCCTACCCGGATACCCGCTGAAGATATCTAGAGACAGGTCATGCATACACTGAAGTTGACTGAACTTTTGTCTTTATTTTAACATTTAAAATTAGAAGGAATGCGTGTATAGTCAGACAGAAATGGGAACATTAGTGACTTGTAGTTTAACCATAGAGTTTTAGATAATCGACCCGAGTACCCGAGTTACTCATCCCAGCCCTAGATATTAGGATTATACAATATAAAGGATTATCGGCTGTGATGTAGTTGAAGTAGTGTATTTGCAAGAATTATAACGAAGTGATTGAACATGTAACGATTTTTCCTATGCTTCAGTGCCAGTGTGAGTGACAAATGTTTCTCTTCTGATCTTCACCATGGGGATTATTGGGTACAATTGATCCCTAGCAACCTATATACTCAGACCCCATGGTACCGCGGCATTCATCCTATTGCGGCATTTGTGTTTTCCGGTAGTTCACGCGGGACACGCCTCTTAGCAGCTGTCTCTTAATGCAAATCAGTAACCAGGAAGTGCACACTTCGTAAACAATTTCAATTTCCTCGGAATGTTCCGTCTGCTGTAAGTAAGGAGTTATTAATGCGTTGATACATATTTCTGGCATCTGTTGTAATATTGCCTTACCCCAATCTATCAATGGCCAACGATATAACCCGCAGTTCCCCAAGTAAACTTTCTCTCCGTTCAGCGTACATGACAAGTACCGCGATACCCTGAGGTTGCAGGCTACTAGTTGTAAGAGACGACGGACTGAATCACGTGGTCAGGTTCAGTGACTTCGTTGATAGTGTGTTATAGTACCTCAATGGTAGGATCAGTGTGCTCATGATATCAATCACTGAATTTTCTGGTCCAGTATCAATCATTTACAGACTGACGTCATATAGCTGGAATAGTGTGGCGTTAAGTAAACATCAATGAAGCAGGGTGATGGGGTAGGTCAGTGGGGGATGGGACACTCTGTCATTCACATCCCAGTCCATCCGATTAAGCCCAGGGGCGGTCAGGTAGTCTAGTGGTTAAAGCGTTCGCTCGTCACGCCGAAGACCCGGGTTCGATTCCCGACATGGGTATAATGTGTGAAACCCATTTCTGGTGTCCCCCACCGTGATATTGCTGGAATATTGCTAAAAGCGGCGTAAAACCAAATTCACTCACTCACTCACGATTAAGCCCAATCTAATTGTCCTCATGGCGTGTGATCTGGGTTAAAATATTATGTTGTTATTATTTTTATTTAAGGATATCTCCCACAGAAATAATAATATACAGAATTCACCTCTTTTTTTGTACTGAGGATGTGCATGTGGAATGAAGTGAAACTAGCGTATGAAAATTGTCTTTACTTACATTTCACGTTTTCCCATGTGAACAATTAATACAAACTAAATATTTTGCATCAGCTAAAAACACAGTATATTTTATGACAATAATGTATTTTAATCAGAATTCATAGAATTATGTTAAACATTAGCATGCTTCTATATTCAGAGTTTACTGCACTTAGAAAGTTGGTAGTTAATGCATCTTAGCCTCCTCGAGTCCACAGTTCCTCCGTCATAATGTTTGCTTGTTAGTTTTTTGTTTAACGCCGCACTCAGCAATATTCCAGCTATATGACGGCGGTCTGTAAATAATCAAGTCTGCACCCGACAATCTAGTGATTGACATCATGAGCACCGAACCACGCAACTGGGATACAATGACATGCATCAACCAAGTCAGCAAGCCTGACCACCCAATCCCATTAGTCGCCTCTTACAGGCATAGTCGCCTTTTACAACAAGCATAGTCGCCTTTTACAGCAAGCACCTACTCTACCCCAGAGCTTCACGGGCATCCTCCATCATAAAAGCAGACTAAATGATGATCAGTTGGTTAAAATCACTGTACCCAAAACATTGCATTAGTCCTCCTTGGTTATTAAGCCCATGTCTATGATGCCATGTTTTCCTCAGAACAGATTTTCAAAGTGCCAAATTTTCCTGGTTATGATGCCATAATTCCATAATGGTAATAATATAAGTTGTATCAGGATCACGAGGAGTACATAGGTTTTATACCATGAGTTTGAGGCATAAAACCCTAACGCTGGACACATAAAACCCCATGTACCCCTCGTGATCCTGCTACAGTGAAGATATCTTACCAACATGTTTTATTATGACATTGTAAAATATTAAAACAAATTCAAAATTGATAGACAACAGCTGTTTTCGATTGAGCTGAGGTTAACTTGTGTTTTGTCTTGTGACTTTCATTGTCTCGGAAAAAGCGTTTAAGCGGGATATAAGGGATTTATTCTGCCTCTCAGAAATCCATGTGCAGCCTGACTTGCTTATGGCGGGGTATAAGGGATTTATTCACCCGCTGAGAAATTCGTTTCCATCCAAGGCGGGACATCATTCTGACATGGAGGTGTGATAATGCCATGTATATCATTGCTTTACAGCTATCATGTGGTTCTTCCTGCCTGTGTCTAAACAATCAGCACATCCTGAAACATCCCGAGAGGACTCTGTGTCGCGAAAGAGCGGGGAATACTCCTTCAACCTAAACGAGATGCTCCGATCCTTCCGAGCCATCAGTTGGCGCCACCTGTGGGACCTGTTCCTCATCAAGTTCCTGGGGGGCTTTTCAGTCATCCTGTTCCGATCCAGTTTCAGTCTCATGACGCAGAGCGAGTTCAATGCATCGCCACGGATCATTGGCTATTTGACCTCCTACAGTGGGGCTGTGTCTACTCTTTGTGGATTCTTTATAGGAAGATTAGCAAGATATTACGATAATGATGGTAAATTATATTTTCACATGGTAGTCTTACAAGTAGTGACATTATTCAGCCTGACAGCCTCACCCAATTTAGCATGGATGGCAGTGTGGTTGTGTCCACTGAGTATCGTCACGTCCGTCATGAGAGTGTCGGCAACTGCGCTGACAATTCAGAAAGGACGAGACGAGGACAGAGGGGCCCTGATGGGGTTCAGTCAGAGCCTCATGTCCATTGCAAGAATGTTGGCGCCTTTTGTTGGTGGTGTTGCCATGGAGATAAGCCCACGAGGACCACTACTTATTGGGACATGTGCCGCAGCTTTATCGCTGATATTGCTAATTCTCAGACCTCAGGGAGACGAGAAACAAAAAGTGAAACAGTCTTAACCATGCTCGTGTTTTAGAGGAAATTCAGGGACCAGTATTCGTTGGTTAGTTGGTTGGTTGTTTAACGCCGCACCCAGCAATATTCCAGCTATATGACGGCGGTCTGTAAATAATTGAGTCTGGACCAGACAATCCAGTGATTAATGTCATGAGCATCAATCCACGCAATTGGGATCGATGACATGAATCAACCAAGTCAGCGAGCCTGACCACCCAATCCCGTTAGTTGCCTTTTACGACAAGCCTAGTCACCATTTACGGCAAGCATGGGTTGCTGAAGACCTATTCTACCCCAGAATCGGACCAGTATTCTTTACTGCTATTTTTTACTTCTACATATCAGACTGAAGACAGCCTTTTACTGTCTTGTTTGTTTGTTGTTTAACGGTGGCGGTCTGTAAATAATCGAGTCTGGACTAGACAATCCAGTGATAAACATCATGAGCATCGATCCACGCAATTTGGATACGATGACATTCATCAACCAAGTCAGTGAGCCTGACCATCCGATCCTGTTTGTCGCCTCTTATGACAAGCATAGTCAGCTTTTACGGTAAGCATGGGTTGCTGAAGACCTATTCTACCCTGGACCTTCATGGGTCGCTGTTTATCAAAACCGAATGGATTAGAATGTATTGGATAATGGAGGGTGTAATTCCGTCGTGTCCCAGGATGAGTTATTCAAGCAAATGACTGAAAAGTAATACATACTTGCTCACTCACTTGTTATATTGCTATGTTAAAATGATATACTCCACTCTAATGTTACCATATCACCCATAATAGTTGCCAGGCATCTGATACATACTGTAAATCGTGAAATTAATGCGTCTCCAAAAGAATGTGACCACTGACCCCTAGCCAATAATGCGACTCAATATGAATGCGACACACACACACACACACAAGAATCAGTGGATCTATAATCTATATGTAAAGAAAATGTCTTCTGTCAGGTATACAGGAGAATCCTCACCTTAATCCAACCTGACCTTAATCCAATCACACACCAAATAGCACCGCTTATTAGCGCTGAGTAGAGTACTTCCGCTAAAACAATACATAGTGTTTTCCTAAGAACAACATATACTTTTTGTGTTTATTCTGATAACTGGCATCAAGGAAGTTCACAGGAAATACAATAATTGAACCCACTCAAGTTAAATCTTTGGCCCCAGCACTGACAATTCACAGGATGTAATTACTGCTTGAATGACATTGTTTATATACTTGTTACAAGTGCTGCTCAATAAACAGTGATGTGGAATACATAGTTGTTTGTTTTTAGCGTATGTCTAAGTTGGTATTTCTGCTAACCAAAATGTCTTATTGTTGATATAAATGCGATGTTTATTAATGCGAGCAAAGACCACTCGCATTTTCTGCATTTAATTCACGCTCGCGTTAATTTCACGATTTACAGTATAGGTTCTAGTACATGAATTGTACCCATTGAAAAACATAGTATGAATACTCTCATACCTATGGCATAGGTGGATCGGGGGGTAGGGTGGTGGTCCCATCCAAGGAACTTCAACAAGTGCAGCTTCATTTTAAGTAAATTGATCATAAGTTAACAATTCAATCTGCAGCTCTCTCCTAGTTTCATGACATATCTCAGAATCCCTATCAAAGTGTGTGTAGTATCTAAATAAATTCTAATGATTCCCTGGCATTTGATTGGCTAACAAGCAATTCTTTTTGTGTTTTGATTTATGGAAACAAAGACAAATAGGCCACACCCACAAATGGACTTTCTTAATTGTCTGACAATAGAATGGGCGGGGCTTGTGTTGTTATTGCGCTGAATTAGGTCACTGATTTTGTATTGTCTATTTTTTGTGTGTTAATGACTAAATAAGCAGACTGTGAAGTTATTATTGTTGCTGTATTTATTCATAAGAATATCAATATATGTATAATTAAACCAAAAAAACCCGGTGTGTACACTTTTCGTAAATACACTACACAGATTTACACCATATGCAAACTGTTTTTTTACTTTTATTCCTGCATAAATGCAAAAAAGTAATCAAGTCAAATCCTAAATATCCCTTGAAATAGAAGAAATATGGTACTTGGGTTGACTCCACATGATTGAGTGAGTGAGTGAGTATGGTTTTACGCCACTCTTAGCAATATTCCAGCAATATGACGGCTGGGGACACCAGAAATGGGCTTCACACGCTGTATCCATGTCGAGAATCATGACAAGCGAATGCTTCAACCACGAGCTCACCCGACTCCACGTGTGTCCTGGTGAGTCATGTAAGAAGGTGCATACTTATAAAGCAACAGATACAAACCCTAAGGCATGCACAAAGGCCTTCATTATTACCCCGGGAAATGGATCAGTGTACACTTGATTTCCATGGTAAGCGCCCTGAACACAGTATTTAGGGGAGTTTTAATTCCTCTGTAAAACGGAGCGGACAGTCATCATGAGGAGTATCCATTCCAAAATTTGTTCAATATAATGATGTTTACATGTACATGTCAGATTATTTTTAGATTTTCTGGCAGTTTCAGCAATAAACTATTGTACATATCAGTTGGGTTTTCTTTTTCCCATTATTCATGTGACTAACAGTGGGTACTTAGGGACCAGTCATTTATTATACGGGTGGGTGGGGCAGAGGGAATCAGGGGAGGGTCACAAAAAAGTATGAGTGAGTGAGTATGGTTTTACGCCGCTTTCAGCAATATTCCAGCAATATCACAGCGGGGGGACACCAGAAATAGGCTTCACACATTGCACCCATGTTGGGAATTGAACCCGAGTCTTCGGCGTGATGAGCGAACACTTTAACCACTAGGCTAACCGACCACCCCCAAAAAAGTATGAGTGTCTGGGGGAGGGGCACCAAAATTATCCCACGTATATGGGGAGGGTCAAACGCCTCTGACCTACCCTGTCATAAGTGACAAGTCCCTTAAAACAGCAGGTGTAGTTACATTTCTAATTTTGTTGTATTTTTCAGTCTGTAAGCAAAATATAACAAACATGCTGTGTATGTAACATTTATTTATTTTTAGTAAATGATAAAAAATGTTGAGTAATGTTGACTGCCGGTTTACAAAGAAAACAACGATGTCTCCCTGCAGTTGGTGTCCTCCAAGCATCCAGGCTTAAATCACATCTACCTACAACAATGCAACAGTCATCCTACTTCAGCATAAACTACTGATGGAATATAAAGGGAACACTGTTGAGCGAGTGAGGGAGTTGGGTTCTATGCTGCTATCAGCAACATCACAGCGACTGGCACCAGAAAAAGTCTTCACATGTTGTACCCTTGTGAGGAACAGGAGTTCAGTGGTTGACTGTAGTTTTTTGTATTGTCCACAAAGTGTGAGAGAGGGAGTTTGATTTATTGCTGCTTCGAACAGTATTTCACTTATATCTGCATGTCAGCTTGATGTGGGAGGAAAGCCCAAAGTGATGCAGATCTAAGAAGTATACCACTTTGGTGAAACCTGCGAATCTGGTGCTGGCAAACCCAGAGAAAGATTATGTGGCCGTGAATTGAGCACACCAGACACCAAAATCTGTGAATTTACTTCACACAGCAGGAACATAATTTGAAGTTTTCACATTTTTCAATCAGTATTATATCACACTTTATGTGAGATGGAGTTCTTTTCTTAACATAATGGTCATGAAAAATAATTGCAAAAACCTGAGGACCTTATAACAATAAGTCAATAAATACTGGACTATTAACTAGGGCTGGCTAAAAAGATTGATAATCAGAACTATCCTTGATGTGGAGAAATTTTAAGTAAGTGAGTGAGTGAGTTGGGTTTAACGCCACTTTTAACAGTTTTCCAGTTATATCGCGGCGTGTCAGCTTAATGTGGGAGGAAAGCCTGAGGTTATGCAGGTCTTAACCCACGAGCACGGTGAAACCCACGAGCACGGGTATGGTGCTGACAAACCTAGAAACATAATCGGGGCGAACCGGGATTTGAACCCACAATCATAGGTTTCTGGCGTGCCCAAGAGACGCAACTCTGCACAGGGAATTGCGGTGCCTTAGACGACTGGGCCACCTGTGCCCCCAGAAATTTTACGGATTATCGATATGTAAATTGTGTCATCAATAATATCTTACATAATTCTATTGTGATGAAGTAAAGTCTTAATTTACCGAAGCAGACTTGTTATGTCCATTGCAAAAGACGGAAAGCAACTGATTTTGTTATATCTGAAATGTCCACAAAGTAAACCATGCATAAATGTGTCACCACTCAACAGTGACGTGAAATATGTTGTGTTGTCTGAGCTTTTAGCATATTTGCACAAAGTTACTTTCTCAATATTTATCGATAATTGATGGATATTTAGTAAATGAGTATCGATCACTAAGATCGATATCCATAGCCAGCCCTAATTATAACATATCTTTGAGAGTGTCCAACATTACGACATGGTGATGTGCAGATGCCATACTGCTAATAATTGTTATTTGGGTTTTGTATCAAAACACAATATGCACCTACAAATTACTGATCACATCTAGCTTGGAGACTCTTCACAATTGACATCAGTAGACCAACAATGCTTATAACCATGTACAAATATGCAACCATGAAGGAAAACTTTATTATGACACAATTTTTTTCTCATCCAGTTACATATTGTTTGTATTATGAAAATAAATAAGCTTCACACTTTTCACAAATAACTTAAACAGAAATGTACAATGTCACAATTGTATCACAAACCTGTTTGTTGTCTTCTATATACAGACACAGCTTACAATCTGCTGTACATAGAACCCATGTATGTAAACTTTCAACAAACACTAATAGTGCTTCTTGGCAATGCTAAGTTGCCTCCTCGCCTGAAATATAGTTTCACCTCTGATATGTGAATAATTAATAACCATGGTACCAGTTTCTTACTACAGATCACTTGTTTATTACAATTAATTCAACACTGATAACTTCCTTTTTATGAAGAAAAAGCAAAAATAAATCAAATTCATGTGAAATGAGTCATTATGATCAAACAAGTATGTGAAATCTTGGTAGAACAGACTTGAAAAGACAGTGGATCAAAATATATCAGCAAAACAGCCAGTTATATTACTTTGCTACGGACCACGAAGCTGAATATCACAACTGAAACCTGCGTTGCATAGTGAGTCGGTCAATAATGTGGGATACTATCATAAATTTGGAAAATACTTAAATCTGATTGGTCAATCAGAAGTCTCCAATCACAATCATAACTTCTGATTGAAACTTTCGATTTGATTACTGCATCACCATGGATGATAATACTCAATGATAGGGATAATCAGATAATCAGCCCGAAGTGATGCAGGTCTCAGACGTTTACCACTTCGGTGAAACCCACAAGCACGGGTATGGTGCTGACAAACCTAGAAACATAATCGGGGTGAACCGGGATTCGAACTCACAGTCATAGGTTTCTGGCGTGCCCTAGCAACGCAACTCTGCACAGCGAATTGCAGCGCCTTAGACGACTGGGCCACCCGTGCCCCCTGTCATGGAAAGATAAACATAACCCTACCAAAGTGTAGTGGTATATTAATGTGTCACTTCCAAGGTTTCACAGTATACATTGTGACATGATCACTGTCGGTGTGGAGTTCAACCTTCAAACTAAGAACCAACTCAAACCAAGAGTTTGCACTTAACTTTCCCCTGTAAGAAAGTTGGTTCCAAATTCAAATGAGCGCTAGCAAATCTACACATTCCACAGTTCTTCATTAAAACAAAGTATGTTCATCTATTAAACAGTGTCCAATATTTTGGTCATGCAGCATGTGTCACTTCTTAATTGAGGACAGACAGTCCAGTTGACAGATCATAGATTTGTGTACAGACTTGGTGCTGTCATATCATTGCCTTGGATTCAAACACACAAATAGGTGCTTCAACTTCCTGTGCTAAGGGACATAACTCCACACAGCGAGTTAAGAACCTTCAACCACTTGCCATCTGATTCCTCTTGTATTATGACCTCATTGAAATGTGCATCACTTATTTGTAGTTAGCTTATTAGAAACTCACACCAGCCTATCTGATCCATCAAAAAAGGGCTTGTGAAATGTCACTGACCCAGTCAGAAAGTAAATCTACCTTTATCAATTCATCTTCAGTAATTGTTGGAAGTAACTGTTGGCATCCTCCCAAGGCAAAGGAGTCAGCTGACCATAAAAGTCCAGTTTCCACCCTTGCCCAACTAGGCTGGAATTTCTGGGCTCAATTGTAGTGCCACCAGTGGCTATTACAAGTTATGTCCCTTCTATGTCCCTCCCGAGACCAATCAGATTCCACCTCTCATATCACTTGTATTTGCTTCAAACAAAATAGCAGCCCAGATGATCTGATCAATAATCAAAATCTATATTGTAATTAAAAAGGTCTAACTTTGCGAAGTTCATCAAATCATGTGAGCACCTTGATTAAAAACATGAAAAGATTTGGAAAACATCTCTTGACGCCGAGCTGGTGGTTCACATCTTTTGCAAATCCTGCAATCAACCGAAATCTGCACAGCAGTTTACGAACCAGATGTAGATTTCGTTACAAGATTTTGATTGGACTATGCATTGACTCGTTAGTCCTGCCAAGACATAACTCCCTAATTCCAGCCTAGGTCGGCAAGGGTGGAAACTGGACTTATAAAGTGAGTTAACTCCTTGCCTCGGGAAGATGTCATGTTGGAAACATATCATCAGATAAGTTAGTCATAATGATGTTATTTGTTTACTTTCAATACACCACACCAACTATTAAATTCACGGATGTTTAAATGCTTTTGACGCAAAATATCTATGTTAACTTACAGAAACAGTCAACATACACTATAGTTCAGATTTAGTGATGCATTTCTTCAGGAAGTCACCCCAACATACTAAATGACACGACAATAGTTAAGTCTGTGAGAAGGCTTGGATACAGACATGTTGAACAATGTTTCGGTTATGTCAAGTTTAATGAGGGAGGAAAGAAAGACACTAAAGACAGTTTTTCCTCAATACTCCCACCTTCAACAAGGGTGATACATGTGGACTACTACATTTGGATGCACAAGGGAGATAACTCCGTAATCTAAACCAGTCAGCCATCATTGCTGGTGGATCTTGGACAAGAAGTCATCTACATTAAGCTTGGCTAGGTTGGGTGGCTTCCTTCTCTGCAAACATAAGTAGCAATGTTGATTAATAATCATAAGGCACATATACATGTGTCAACAATATTTTATTTGTTTTTGTGAATAATATTGAATTATTGAAATCAAAGTATTTTGTATATTATATACTTAGTTCAAATAAATTCAGAAGTTTACTCACCAAAACAAGAAACATAAATGCCTTTGTTGGTGACATACATTTAATGGATCAATGGAAAGCAGCTATAGGTTTGAACTACCAAATGATATTATATCCATGAATCCTGCATCACAGAGTAAACTTCCGACACATAAAAATGATTTCATTCATGCTGCATCTCTTTTTTGTGTGGAGTATATTAGAAATTTAAAGGCAAAGAAAGTCAGGAGCATAGACTTACCTTTCGTGCACTACCAGATAGGTTCTGAAAGATATATAAAAATTCATCAGCTACATCACAAGCAGGCACATGACCATGATTACAGAATTACTATTCAGGCACATTCAAATCATCTCACACTTCATCATCCTTGAAGCTTCAACTTTCCATGTGTCATCTCAATTACAACCTTAAGCCTTTACAACATTAAAATGACAACTGTGAAACCCAGTTACAGAGATGCCAACACTAATTGAAGCTTTGCAGTTTTCAGTGGGGTAAAAGAGTTCTTTCATGGGGAACAGAGAAATGTTTGAGTTCCAAAGTATTATCAGTGTACATGCATCTAGTTCCCTGTCTCCACCCACAAAGATTGATCGATAAAATGATTATTGTGTGTTTAACATAACAACCAATCAGAGAACTCGTATCACTGAGTAATGGATATTTTTACACTATGTGAATTGAAAACATGGCTCTCATTGGTCAGCATAGCATCTGTGTTGAATGATTCATGTTTACACTGCATTAAGAAATTGCTTTCTGTGACATTTTATGCATGTGAATAATTTGTTAAGAAAATAACAAAAATCGTAATTTGGAGGAGTCATAACTGTTACGCCAAAATAATGGTTTGTTTGTTTGTTTATTTGTTGTTAAATGCCACACTCAGCAATATTCCAGCTATATGACGGAGGTCTGTAACTAATCGAGTTTGGACCAGACAATCCAGTGATTGACATCATGAGCAGCGATCCACGCAATTGGGATACGATGACATGCATCAACCAAGTCAGCAAGCCTGACCACCCGATCCCGTTAATCGCCTCTTACTACAATCAGTCGCCTGTTACGGCAAGCATGGGCTGCTGAAGACCTATTCTACCCCGGATAATGGTTGGCATATCTGCAAATAGTTCACAAACCTAGCCTTCTGGAGGATGAATACTGTTATACTCTGATTAATTAATATTACTTCTAGCTTTGAATAATAAGGACAGTATAAGCAATGCCAAACAAGAGCCAAGAGTAGTAGAATGTCATTACTTGGTCAACTCGCACTCACCACATCAAGGGAAACATGACTGCCTGATCGCTTCCTGCTTCCCTTCATTTTGCCCTGTAGCCTACATTCCGGGATGATTGACAGCGTGCGTGCTACGACCTCTCTCCGCCTTGACGACATGTGAAGCATTCCGCCTCTCAGGGGGCCGGGATCAGATGCCGACGTCAGGATGGAGCTCGCACTGGACAGGTTACTGTCTTCAGACAAAAACACAGCACAGGTACCATTCAATCCTCCTAACACTGTCTGTTTATCTAAACAGTTATATTTTCTCCCCCCAACAGTGGTAGAGATAGTACCCTCGGCTGAGAAGCCAGGCGGCTGGTTGAGAGGGCTGATCTGTACACTTGGACTGGAGGCTTGGGTGAGGGGGACAAACTTCTGGAATCTTGTAGGAGATTCCCCTTTGGATCCCTCCAAATGTTTATTCCCAAATACTTGGACCGGTCGCTTATCTCCAAGCGGAGCTGAGATACTACTGTCACCCCCTTCATTAGTCTGGGCTAAATTCTTTGCTTTTGCGCCTGGTTTTGGTTTTATTGCAAGACTAGCAGAGACATTTCCCTCTGCCAAAGGGGTCCGTCCTGTGTTTGGCCTAGTGTTTACCCCTTTTTTCTTTGGTTTTACTTTGTGCTGTGCCAGTTTATCCCCTGTCATTAAACTCATTATACAGGATGACCTGCCGCTGGGGCATTCCACCTCAAGATTCATCACTGATTCCCCATTCACTTTGGGGGTGGGTCTGCGACCGCCCATCTTTATTCTGGCTTTGACTGTTTTTTTACAAGGCAAGGACTTTGACACAGGTTTCTGTTTATGTGGGTCCTGTTCTCCATTGGAAACACTATCTGAATGTGCCTGTTTATCAAAACTAAGAGATCTCTTGTGATTCTCTTCAACTAGTCGCCCCAAAGGAATTGCTATATACTGATCATCTGCAGCTGACTTAGAAGATTTTGACACAGTGACTGTTGTGTCCTGGTTCGGGCTGACAAAGTAGCCATCACTCGGTAAGCTTACCGTCTTCGTCTGCCGCGGGCTTCTACATAAAATGTTTGGCTTGCAAGTCTTAAGTTTGGGTGACAAAGATTGTTTAACAATTTCTTGCAACTTTGAGAGCCTGGGAGATGTTTTAGGAGACCCCATCACAACAGTCTTTTGGCTTCCATGTTTGACTGCTGTCTTCTTGGGTCGGATTTGAGGAACAGTTGATGGCACAACCGTCACAGGTCGGTATGAGCTTGTCTGAGAGTCACTCATGGGTCTGGGGTTCTTCAGAATCAGCTGTTTGCCATTAGGGGACATTGTCAAGTCATATATCTGATCATTGACCACAACGGTGGGCAGGCTAACATTGGTGTCTGTCAGGACAACCGTCTCCACCTTATCTTCCTGGGGCTTGACAGGTAGGACGAAGTCTGACAGAGTGTTTTCTCCTAGAAGGTCAAAGCTCATCTGCGAGTTAGTGCAGAGCAGAGCGCTAGAAATGGCAGATGGGAGACTGCCTGGAGATGATGGGACGGGCTGGGACACGGTCAACACTGGTGAAGGAGAGTGAGGTCGCACTGTGAGGATGCTCCCCGGCAGGGCTGTCACTGTATGGAGACTGTCCATGGTAGAGGGACTGTAGGAAGATGTGGATTGGGTCGGGACAGACAAGCTCTGAGTAGGGGCTGTAGAGAACTGTGAGATGACTACTGAGGACACTGTGGGGACTTCAGAGGACTGAACAAGACTAGAGGACTTGGTGAGAAGAACAGAGGACTGGGACTGAACGTGAGAAGATTGGGGCTTTACAGTAGAGGAATGGGGCACAAGGGCCGAGGACACTGTGGGGACTTCAGACTGGGGCTCACAACTACAGGACTTGGTGAGGACAACAGAGGATGGGATGACAACTGGTTGTGTCACACAGCAAGCTGTTGCAGGACACTGAGAAATACTATTTAGGATATTATTGCTTGTAGCCATTGTCATGGCAGAGGTAGACAGAGGTTTAATAGCTACAGCACATTTGGAATGAGGCAGACAACTGGTGTTTGTTACAAATGATGATGCCATTGCACTTTGAGAAGTTGATTTGATCACCGTAACCTTTGGTAGAGCATTTACTGGTGAGATGTGTTGACTGTTATTCGTCTGATCCATGGAGTAAGTATTAATGACACCATTCTCCTCAATGTTTATGTGCACACCCTGGTAGGAAGTCTGCTTTGGGGCACTGACCTGTTGCCTGGACAACACCACTGTCTGGGGTTGACCAGCAACAGGGGGTTGCAATTTCACGCACGACACAGTCAGAGTCGACGTCTGTAACCCTGGACCATTGTTAGGTGTTGGTTGAGATACTAGGAATGATGACTGAAGTACATTTGTTGGAGCTGCAGAAGCCACACAGGGTTGCGAGTTCTGAGGACTGGGCAGGGAATTGATACAGGGGGCTGGTGTGTTGGGATGCGACCCCGGGGGTGACATCAGACTCGGGTCTGGCGGGTACTCCGGGGATTGAAATGGTGAATCAGCAGGTTGATAATGAGGTGATGGAGCTACTTGTGTACCTGGGGACTGACTGATACTGGGTGACTGAGGCGGAGGCGACAACATGCCCCGCCCCTGCGACTCCACACACGGTGAGGCTGAGCGTTGATGAGCGTGGGCTGGTGTACGTGACCTGTGTGCTGACACTGACAGGGGCGGGGACATCAGCCCTACATGTCCTGGTGGCCCTGGGGGCACACAGGGAGAGGGCACCTGCTGCAGCTGTGTCGAGGGAGCTGGGGAACACGGTTCGGGTGTCTGGGCGGGCGACAGTGGATGCATCACCGGGGAGGAGAACACAGGCAATGCTGTAGAGAGAAAAGGATAAATTCAATTCTTAATATCATCAACAAACACGTATATCACCAGCCCTTCATCAAATACGGCTGCCGGACACTTCAATTTTAAACAACTTTGGAAATTTCCCCATAAATTGTATATTAATATATTTATCTATCTCATACTATGCATTTCTTCTTTCTTGCTAAGATCCTATGTGGAAACATGCTTGGACAAAGTTTCCAGCTTCTAATAAACAATTTACTCGTACACTAACAACATCAGGTTTCTACCCAAACAAATGGGTCACTCACTATAATCTTGTGCAAAGCAACCTACACAATACGATCATGTGATTTCCTCTACCATAAGCAATAGCTAACAGGCAAGAGGAGCCGCCCTGAAGGGAGTGAGTGAGTGAGTATTGTTTTATGCCGCTTCTAGCAATATTCAAGCAATATCACGGCAAGGGACACCAGAAATGGGCTTCACACATTGTACCCATGTGGGTGCGATGTAGGGATGGTTGGGAGGGCACATAGCATGTGAGATAGGATAAGTATCACAAATATAGAATTTTCTGTAAAATATACAAATTTTATAACTTAGCCTATCTCACACTATGCATTTATCCCACGGTTGGACGGTGAGGCGCAGATACCCTAGCCTGTACTAGACTACAACCGTGAGACGCACACGAGTTAAACAGTGAAATAATACATCCATAACACTGCCCAGACAAAAGAGTCATGTTTGTTTGTTTCGTATTTAATGCCACACCCTGCAATATTCCAGGTAAATGAAAGCGGTCTGTAAATAATCTAGTCTGGACCAGATAATCCAATGAATGACATCATGAGAATTAAAAAATAATAATTTAGAAATTCCAAAAATATCAAAAGGCACCACTTCAGTATGTGCCTGATAGCTTTGCCAAGTTTCGATCAAATACACTGAATGGTTTTCGAATTCTGCTCTGGAAACGAACCCCATCCCCAATTGAGTCTATGTCCAACTTCATTCCATAAAAATTTTAAAAAATTAAAATTAGAAAAATCCCAAAATATCCAAAGGCACCACTTCAGTATGTGCCTGCTAGCTTTGCCAAGTTTCGATCAAATACACTGAATGGTTTTCGAATTCTGCCCCAGAAACGAACCCCTTCCCAATTGAGTCTATGTCGAACTTCATTCCATAAAAATTTCAAAAAATAAAAATTAGAAAAATCCCACAATATCAAAAGGCACCACTTCAGTATGTGCCTGATAGGTTTGCCAAGTTTCAATCAAATACACTGAATGGTTTTGGAATTCTGCCTCGGAAAAGGAAATGATTACGGACGGACAGACGGAAGGACGAATAGACGGACGGACAGACAGACTGGCTGATCGCTATATGCCCCCGCATTATATGCAGGGGGGATAAAAACTTGTGAGCTGAAAATATACACCATAACAGGTGACATGATCCCCATCATTAGTCGGACATAACATGAACTCGGGTAGATCATGCATAACATATGACATTGTTACATGTACGACTGCGTAGCTGTAAAGAATAATCTATACAGCCTACGACGTATAAATCAATCCGGAAGGGGTCACCAGCCAATTGATTCTTCATGACAGGACACAGCACTATCTCTCATGGGCAAGAGAGTGCACCTGCTTGACATCTCTTTTTATGTTTCGTCAAAGCTATCAATGAATGTTGAGGGAGTCGATCAGCTGGAAGAAGTCGATTAAGAGAGACAGGAGCAACATCAACTTGAGGGCTTGCGCCGACGATTTCTTATTTAAATCATTGTGACTAATTATTTAATCATTGTCTGGGAAACACAATCTGAATCTCAATTTGATTTACCTGATGTGACTGGTTTACATGGGATGGGTTTAATTCTGCGTTTCCTCTGGAAGAGCACCTGCCCCGGACTTCCTGTCCCCGAGGTCATGCTACACACACTGGGGCAGGGACTGGTCAGACTAGCGCAGGGACTGGCCATGCTGGGACACGGGCTGGGGGCTGGCCCCAGGGTGCTGGGCACATCCTGGGAGTTGGTCTGTGGGGGCGAGGAGGAGGATGGTACAGGTAGTGATGGATGTGAAGTGGCAGGTTGGGACTCTGTTGCTGTGAAGCCGTCTTGACTCAGTTCCATCATACACCCATCAGAGTCTAAAACATGATCATTAGATAAGCAATGAACCAATCCTTATTATATTTCAATATATGGGATGTAGATGGCTTTTTAAAACCCTGTTGCAGAACAACTGTAAATTTGTGCTGTGTTTTGATATATTTTTTCATGTGTCATCATCACTTTGTAACAAACAGGAGTAACATTTGAAAAGACTTCCGGGTCAGCAACTTAAATTAGGATCACAAGGTCAGAGATCTCTTTTTTTTAAGGCCATGTATGTTTGTTGTTGTTTGTTTGTTTGTGCGGTTGTTGTTTAACGCCACACTCAGCAATATTCCAGCTATATGATGGCGGTCTGTAAATAATCGAGTCTGGACCGAATAATCCAGTGATTGACATCATGAGCATCAATCTACGCAATTGGGATACGATGACATGCATCAACCAAATCAGCGAGTCTGACCACCCGATCCTATTAGTCGCCTCTTGCAACAAGCATAGTCGCTTTTTACGGCAAGCCTGGGTTGCTGAAGACCTATTCTACCCTGGATCTTCACAGGTCGTTTAAGGCCATGTGAAAAGTGACTCACCTCCTACGTGTTCTGACAGAGTCTGGCCCAGGACACCAGCAGCTGCTTTGTTACCCTCAGACTCTGTAATAATCAATGACTGACACATGTAATAATCAATGACTGACACATGTTATAATCAATGGCAGACACATGTAATAATCAATGACTGACACATGTAATAATCAATGACAGACACATGTAATAATCAATGACTGACACATGTAATAATCAATGACAGACACATGTAATAATCAATGACTGACACATGTTATAATCAATGACAGACACATGTAATAATCAATGACTGACACATGTTATAATCAATGACTGACACATGTAATAATCAATGACTGACACATGTAATAATCAATGACTGACATATGTAGTAATCAATGACTGACACATGTAATAATCAATGACTGACACATGTAATAATCAATGACAGACACATGTAATAATCAATGACTGACACATGTAATAATCGATGACAGACACATGTAATAATCGATGACAGACACATGTAATAATCAATGACAGACACATGTAACAGTGTATATCAGGGATGTGAGCAGGTTTTTCCGAAAAAAAAGTCTAAAACATTTGATTGCATTTTAAGCAATTTCGTGCAGTTTGGACAACATTCACACCAAGAAATGTACTAAGTCAATGGCAAAAGTCAATAAGTCAAATAAACAAGATGGCAGATGCAGTAAAATTTCGAAGTTAAATCAGTACTTTTAAAAAATCGGGCATAGCTTTCGCTCACCTGGCTACCCGCCAGGTCTGGGAGCAATACTGCCATAAACTTCAACCGCCATCCCCCAGACACAAGGACAACTGTCACAAGCGTGCAATGTCTGACCCTTTCCCCATGTTGAAGCATATTGAAAAAAACTTACCTTGTACTTACCTTTTGATGGAAAAAACAAAGCTCCATTGCAAATATAAGACATTAATACAACATATATCCCCATGACATGGGGTTTTGGACGCTGAAGAAACATTCATAGTTTTTTCGCTTATCACATGAACAACTGTAAAACATCTCATTCACTTACAGGCTAAAAGACAACTTTATCTTAAAAACAAGCCATCAGCTGACTCTGAGTATTTACAATTTATGTGTGACGCCACACCCCACGTTATAGTGCAAGTATTCGTGACAGAAAACGTATGATGTCCGAAAACCTATGCTGGTGAAAGCCCTGATCGAAAACAGGACAATCCGCACCAAATGTCCGGTTTTCGATCATATTTTTCGGAGTGTTTTTTTTAAATTTTTAAATTGAATTTTTACGCGGAAGATGATTTTTTCCGAGGACTACTGTTATAAAAAACGCGATTTTCCGCGTTTCCGCGGAGATTTCACATCCCTGGTATATAGACAAACTGATCATGTCATGTACAGTAAACTACGGTGATAATGACCTCAAAGGGACCACTTTAGTTCGTTATAACCATAGTTCATTGTAAGCCTATATACAGGATATACACAGCAAATGCCGAAAAAACAGGACATATATCCGTCCGTTCATTATAAGCGTGGTTGTTATAAATGTAGTTTACTGTATGTGATATCTTAATGCATGACATATTATTTTGCCATAGACGAAGATAACAGTAAAAAGGCAGCTCACTCTTTCAAACTTAAAGAAAGAAGTAGCCATAACAAGACAATTGCCAAGAATGAATGGTATTTCAGCTATATCACAGCATGTCAGCTTGATTGGAACGGAAAGCCTAAGTGAAGCAGCCATCATTCACATATTACGCATTTACCCTACAACCTACAAACACAGTATAGTGCTGACAAACCTAGAAACATAATCCGGGCGAACCTGAATCAATACTAAAAGGGTTTCTGGCATGCTTAAGGGAAGCAACTCTGCTCGTCAAATTTCGGCACCTTAGACAACTAAAAAATCTCAGCACCCATGATACTGTGAAAAATTACAATACACTGAAGTATTTACAGTTAGTTTATTAGGGACACTGAAAGCCATGAAACAACTGAATATAAACACAAAGATTCAGCCTCTCGCCGTAAAAGGCGACTATGCTTGTCGTAAGAGGTGACTTATGGGATCGGGTGGTCAGACTCGCTGACTTGGTTGATGCATGTCATTGTATCCAACTTGCATGGATCGATGCTCATGACATTAATAACTGGATTGTCTGGTCCAGACTCGATTATTTACAGACCGCTGTCATATAGCTGGAATATTGCTGAGTGCAGCGTTAAACAACAAACAAACTCTACAGAAAATGATATGCCCTCACAGAAACATGCCACATACCAAATATATTGAGCAGGGAATCAAACAGTGGGTCACTTTTTGCCATGTGGATGATACCGTCTATAGTATCCTCAGACAGCACTTGGGGTACCTGGAACAGACAGGCCAGCGCATAAGTGAAATGTTTATAGTGTGAAGTAAACAATCTACATGAAGTTGTATGAATATAGAAATTACAAGAAAGATCGTCACACTTACAGGTGATCCAAAAAAGTCATCAACAATGATGCTGGTTGCCACAGGTTTCCGACATAAAGTTTGAGGGGGGTCTGCAAATCTACTCTTGTTGATGGTCGCTGCTAGACGCTCATGAAGCTTCGTGTCATTCATGATCTTCTCCAGCAGCATCTGCAACAACATCATCATTCACTACAATCAAGTGTTAAGACACCATGAGCTTAATCCAACTCGTCCACAGCTCATTTCTGACTAGTGGCTTCATGTATCATTACTAGATTCTTGGAGAAAACAACTAGTGCTTCCTGATTTCCACTAGTCTTACACATCGTAACCACCCAATACACACCCTAACCACTCAATACATACTGTAACTACTCAATACAGTGTAACCACCCAATACACACCTTAACCACTCAATACATACTGTAACTACTCAATACACAATGTAACCACCCAATACACATTACAACCACCAAATCCACATTGTAACAGCTGATACACACCGTAACCACTCAATACACATTACATCCACTCAAAATACATTGTAACCAGACCCATGAAGATCCGGGCTAGAATAGGTCTTCAGCAACCCATGCTTGCCTAAAAAGGCGACTACGCTTGTCGTAAGAGGCGACTAACGGGATCGGGTGGTCAGGCTCACTGACTTGGTTGATGCATGTCATCGTAACCCACTTGTGTGGATCAATGCTCATGACATCAATCACTGGATTGTCTGGTCCAGACTTGATTAGTTACAGACCGCCGTCATATAGCTTGAATATTGCTGAGTGCGGCGTTAAACAACAAACAAACATTGTAACCAGCCAATACATATTACACCCGCCAAATACACATTGTTACCACCCACTGGAAGTTATATTCACAAAACACTCTTTGTCATTCCTTAAAATTCTTATCAAGTATCATTCATTTGAGTTCAGTTAAGAGTCTATACAGAGAACATATTCACAGAATGAAATCATGAGTACATACAGGAAAAGGATCAGCTTGGAGATTGGCCTGCTCTTTGCTGCTTTCACTCCCAGAACTGTCTCTCTGCTCTGATGGGGCACCTGCTCCATCTTTGTCTGAGGTTCGGAGGGGCTGGCTGTCATTACGTCTCTTGGGCTGGTGCCTAAACACACACGTACAGTCAATAATACATTCTGAAGATGAGACTGAGATATCTGTGAGAAGGGGAGATTCAGTAGTGAGTGAGCTGTTTGTTATGGGAAGATTCAGAAGGAAGTGAGAGAGCTATCCAGGGCTTGGTGTTAGGAATTAGATGTAAAATTACACCATTAGCATCTTGATATGAAAACCAAGTTGCACCAAACAAAATCAGGTTGCACCAAACAAAACCAGGTTGCACCCTGGTCCCATAAATTTATCACAGTTGAAACATTGGCCAGTCTGCTACTAGCATCACATCTTATAAAATTAATGATGCATTGCTGTAAAACGTAAAAGGAACATGTACATAATCTTAAAGTACCCACAGTTTGATGACAAGCCTAAGAAAGCATGACAAATTACACGTAACACAGGGATGAGTGATAGTAAAAAAAATTGAGTGTGTTCAAAGATTGATTTTGCATGGACAAGTAAGGGTCAGTCACACATATTTTAAACTTGACATTTCATTATATTTTGACATACACTTGTTACATGTAGACATGAATATTGGGTTGCAGGTTTCAATACTAGGTTGCACTTTTGCATGTTTCATATGGTTAAATCGAGGCCAACGAATCTGTCACGTAAAGATTCAAAAGTGAGTGCGTGAGTGAGCAATATGTTATGGGAAGATTCAACAAGTCAGTGAGTTATTTGTTACAAGAAGGCTCAGAAGTGAGTGAGCAATATGTTATGGGAAGAAGTGAGTAAGTGAATTATTTATGAGGGGTGAAATGAAGTGGTGAAATAAAGTGGAGAAATGAAGGGATGAAATGAAGGGATGAAATGAAGGGGTGAAATGAAGTGATGAAATGGAGTGGTGAAATAAAGTGGTGAAATAAAGTGGAGAAATGAAGTGGTGAAATGAAGTGGTGAAATGAAGGGATGAAATGAAGTGGTGATATGAAGTGGTGATATGAAGTGGTGAAATGAAGTGATGAAATGAAGTGATGAAATGAAGTGGTGAAATGAAGGGGTGAAATGAAGTGGTGATATGAAGGGATGAAATGAAGTGGTAAAATGAAGTGGTGAAATGAAGTGATGAAATGAAGTGATGAAATGAAGTGGTGAAATGAAGTGATGAAATGAAGTGATGAAATGAAGTGGTGATATGAAGTGGTGAAATGAAGTGGTGAAATGAAGGAGTGAAATGAAGTGATGAAATGAAGTGGTGATATGAAGGGATGAAAAGAAGTTGTGAAATAAAGTGATGAAATGAAGTGGTGAAATGAAGGGGTGAAATGAAGGGGTGAAATGAAGGGGAGAAATGAAGTGGTGAAATGAAGGGGTGAAATGAAGGGATGAAATGAAGTGGTGAAATGAAGGGGAGAAATGAAGTGGTGAAATGAAGGGGAGAAATGAAGTGGTGAAATGAAGTGGTAAAATGAAGGGGTGAAATGAAGGGGAGAAATGAAGTGGTGAAATGAAGGGGAGAAAAGAAGGGGAGAAAAGAAGGGGTGAAATGAAGGTGTGAAATGAAGTGGTGAAATGAAGGGGAGAAATGAAGGGGAGAAATGAAGTGGTGAAATGAAGTGGTGAAATGAAGTGGTAAAATGAAGTGGTGAAATGAAGGGGTGAAATGAAGGGTGAAATGAAGGGGAAAATGAAGGGGAGAAATGAAGGGGTGAAATGAAGCGGTGAAATGAAGCGGTGAAATGAAGAGGTGAAATGAAGTGGTGAAATGAAGGGAGAAATGAAGTGGTGAAATGAAGTGGTGAAATGAAGGGGTGAAATGAAGTGGTAAAATGAAGTGGTGAAATGAAGGGGTGAAATGAAGGGGAGAAATGAAGGGGTGAAATGTAGGGGAGAAATGAAGGGATGAAATGAAGGGATGAAATGAAGTGGTGAAATGAAAGGGAGAAATGAAGAGGTGAAATGAAGGGATGAAATGAAGGGATGAAATGAAGAGGTGAAATGGTATTTGTAAGTGTGGGCTGCATCCATCAAACTGTACCCATTTCAACCAAACATTTTGAATAATAAATCCATATTACTCTATGAAAGATAATTTATTACAAGCAATGTAAAATGTCCACAATGTATTTGTGTATAATGTTATATACATTGACATTCATGTCCATCCTAAGTGCTTTCTGCTTGGAGCCTAACCACAGAATATTCAGAAAATTAACATCATTAACCATGATTTTCAAGTCACAAATATGATTAATATCATTAAAGAGAAGAGACTGAAAAATCACTATTCAATGACCTACTTTCTCCTTCGAGGAGATCGTCCCATCACATCACAGGTCTCCGAGCATATGGAGAGTGCCTTCAAGGGAGTTGTTTGACACTGGCTAGCCAGCACCAATTTAACAGGGCTTTGTTCAACTGGAAGAAAACAATCATTATTAACTCAATGATGATGCATCATAAGTTTCAGAACAATCAAATCTACACCAAAAAAATCTATCATGTCCATTATGTTCTCATTAATGAAAATACCGATGCAGAGTTGCTTCCCTTGGGCATGCCAGGATCTCAAGATCAGATTAGTCCCAACCTAGATCTGATAATGATCCTTGTTCTGCCCCATACCCATGTTCATGGATTTCACCAAAGTGGCAAACATTCAAGACAATTCTCTGGGGTTTTGTCCCACTAGTGGACACACCACGACCTAACAGATCTAAGTTATTGTGACTTTAACCCAACTCACTCTCCATGCCTCATTACAACTGTAGACTTATCTATTTGTTTGTTGTTTAACACCGCACTCAGCAATATTCCAGCTATATGACGACAGTCAGTAAATAATCGTGTCTGGACCAGACAATCCAGTGATTGATATCATGAGTATCAATCCACGTAATTGGGATATAACAACATGCATCAACCAAGTCAGCGAGCCTGACCACCTGATCTTGTTAGTTGCCTATTACGACAAGCATAGTGGCCTTTCACGGGAAGCATGGGTTGTTGAAGACCTATCATACCCCGGATCTTCACGGGTTTGCATGTACAAAAAGAACCATATATATATAAATCTAAATCTAAACCAAAGAATAGCAGTATTTTACCCATATGTTGTGAAAATGTACCAGTGTGTTGGTCTGTCTCCTGCACCTGTCCGAGATCTGGCAGCTGATCCACTTCTAGTTCCACAACATCTTCGACATCATCAACCTTTTCCTGCATGTCATCAGCAAGCACAACCGAACTACCGTGCATATTGGCACTTTCAATCAATGCACCACTTCTACTTGAACTGTTCTCAAACATTCCCATATTAAGTATATCCTTAGGAACTGCAGCCGGCTGTTCCATCGCTCCCGGTGCTTGCGTGGTTAACACTGTTCCACTTGCAGACACATCCACAATCCCTGACACATTCCCATTCCCTGACACATCCATACTCCCTGACACATCCACTACATTGATTACAGCATCTGAGTCACTGTCTGACCGCCCCTGAGTATTTATCACAGACTCAAATATAGCACTATTTCTTGTAGTCCGTCTCCTTCGCGACACTCTCTTTTGCACTGGTGTCCTACGTTTAGCTGTCCTTTTCTTTGTCCCTTGTTTCTCAGTGTTTGGTTTTGGTGCCGAGGGGACATTGTCTCCGCTTGGCGTCACCTCCGTCAGGTAACTACCCACACTGACACCGGAAGATGAGGGGGCGAGATCTATTCTCGGCAAGCTGACGGAAACCGTGGTGAGGGGAGATATGGTAGCAGCATCTCCAGCATCTGTTTGAGATGCTGGAGCTTTATTCACTCGATGCTTCGTCCGCTGACCCTGTTGATAGCTTGCAGTTTTCAGGGCTTGTGTTTTTGTCTTCTTTTTCAGAAGTCGTGTCACTGCATCGAACTGTTTCCATGCTGCGGCCATATCAATGGCATACATTCCTGTCTCTTGAGCTGACAAACAGAGGGTAATCAGGAATAAATGTGGCACTTTTTTGTAATAATCCTTCTACTATCACACTCTGTGCCAAAAGCTTTTGGGTCTACATGCCCAAACTGCTCAAGATTAAACATGTTAATAGGTTTTAGTTTTAATATGTAGACTTAGTTTACTCGACCAAAATTTTACTTAACTTTGTAAAGTTGCAGAGTAACACTCTGGTGGAACATACTCTATTCCGATAGGTATCAAATTCAAATTACAATAGAATATTTGTTTCAAGGACCAGTCTGCGACTCAGCCACTGTCCGAGTTTTGTAAAATTCTGTTCAGTTTTGTAATATCAGCTGCTAATAGTCCTCATAATAACACTAAAATCTACAGAGAGTGACGTTGAGAGCTATGTTCAGACTGGCCATGTAGTCTCAAAAGCTTCGGGCACAGACGGAAGCCCCTGCATCACAATGGAAATATCAACTAACACTATTGCATGTAGATCCAAACTTCATATCCTAATTTCAAATTTCATTGATAAGCATCAACATAGAAAGAACCTTTTTCGCACTATTTTGCTAAGTTACTTGCACTAACTGTTTTCAGGAAACAATTCTACAACTCTCTGAAAACACAATGCCATTTAGAAAGTGGTTAAATGTAACAAATGTTATATTTGGGATAACACTCTCTTAGTAAAGTACAGATTCTAGTACTTTTGGGGGGTTGAGTCCCATCTGGGACCTAATCACCTACAACTCTTGTAAAACCTAATTATAGGACTCTTCTTTCTAACACTAATTTCAAGACCTGGGGTCCATTCCAAAAAGCGATCATAACTCCCATACTTCAACATAGGCTTACGACTGTCATAGCGTTACGACCACTTTGTGGAACGGGGCCCTGACTGCATAGAGAAGGGACACAGAAACACATATGAACTCTACCAACCTTTCAGTTTGAGTTCTGCATATTCATTCAGCAGTTGACACAGTGAGATGCCCATGATAGCTGTGGGATACTCGATGCCCTCCTTCAACATGGCTGCATATTCTGCCAGGTACTTGCACTCCTTCAGGAAACACTTGTATGTCAGTGGGTGGGAGCTCTCCTTCAGGTACCCTGTTGATAGAATACACAACAGTAGTAGCAACACCATCATATTATGTATATCATACAATGGGCACTTCTGATTTAGCTAGAATTGCCAAATCTCAAATTGGGTACATGTTTTGAAATTGAATGAATGTTATTACCTATCTTATTAGTGGTTTTCTGATTAACTGACTCATCAAAGATTGATTGGAAGGTCCAAACAACACAATAATTTTGCAACCCTCAACCCTGAGATAGTTTTGTTTCCTAAGAAGGCAGGTTCAATGTAGGGAACTTGATGTAACTTGTACCAGGTGCATTTTGACATGAAACTCTAGTTGCAACCAGGTTGCACCTTTGTCGCTTAATCTTTTTCAAAGTTGAAACAAAGACATAAAAACTACTATATCCTAAATAAATACAATCTCAAATCTCTGATGATCATCATGATTTTTAATAGTTAGTACTTACTGTTACAGTACTTATGTGGAATTGTCATCAATCATGTCAATGACAATCATCATATAATGCATAATGATTATCATCAGTCATAAAGTGATATAATGTTCAACAGGGTTTGACCTTGAGAGTCCTGACAAATAATGAAATGGTGTTGAGTACTGGACGTTTTGATAATTACTGGAATGAGTCATTGATCATGTGGTGAGTGGACAGTCATGATTGATGGATAAGATGTTGGACACCCATAACTGCTGTAGGTGAAATGAATATTATTGTGCGTCCTTTGGGACGCAGAATTTTTTTTTATCTGTGCTCGATCTCATCATTTGTGTGTCCTGGACGCACATTTGTGAGTCACATAAAACCATGAGTGTTCAAGTTCAGTGACAGATGAAGCTACAAACATGACAAACTCAGTGTCAATACCCATGAATATCTTCACTGCTCCACATGCTCCAAGCAGACTATGTCTAGATCAGCAAGTTAATTACTGGTCGGAGCCAAAGGCGACACGTTTGCAAATTTGCAATTTTTACATGCAGGGTTCATACAGATCGTTGGACTCTAAATTCAGGCACTTTTCAAACACTTTTCAAGGAAACACATTTGTTTCCAAGGACACTTTTTTCTTATTTAACAACGCTCAAATCCTGTAAAGTTAATCCCAGCAATGATGGCTCAGTTTTTCTACTGCTTCGTCTCCGTAACTTCAGCTCACTTTCCCCCATCGTACCAATAACAATTTCCTTCCTTCAGCAGTAACACAATGCTTTGTTTCTGTCTTTTGTTTCACAAACCCATCGGTACTTTGAAACCCAAGCGGTTCATTCGCGTTACGACGTCTTTCAGAAAAAAATTATTTGTGTTACGCCGACCAGAGTTTTTTCTTATGGTAGATAAAAATTGTCTAATGTATTTTCATAAAGAAAATACCATTTGGAAGTTAAAACACGATAGTGCACAAACATAAGCAGCCATTTTTTAATATAGGGCACTTTTTGACAGATAATTCAAAAATTAAGAAAGTCGTACATATTGCAACCAAAACTTGTTTTTATATTTCCTAGCCAAATTTAGTAGCGCAACTACAGTCGTTAGTCTAAGTTAAAGTACTATGTGAGTTGCGATAGTCTTAGCCTTACGAAAATTTTGTGAATTCTAAAGGTGGACTGTTGTATGGTATTAATTTCATACGTTTCAACATGTTCAACTTTTGACATTTTTGAAGTATTATTCTGTTAAACTCAATTGGACTATGCTGTGGATCGTGTAGGTGCCAGCCTATTCATACTCATGCAACATTATAATTCTAAAAACGTTATAAATGGGAAGTAATAAATAAAATACTAAACTCGCTCCCGTTTAAAACCAATTTTATGAAACTTGTGAATCGTTGTGGTATCTGACTCGCTTTCACTCGTCAGATACCACAACTATTCACTCGTTTCATAAAATTGGTATTACACGGGAGCTCGTTTAGTATGCTATATGTATATGACACGTGAACACAGTTCATATCTTAATCAGCTGAGATGTTCAATCATTTTCTTCTCAAATGTGAAATGTTCAATCATTTTCTTCTCACAAGTGTTCACCTGAAGCCGAATTTAGTCCTACCATAAACATGATAAAGATAATCGCAGATTAAAAGTTAAAATCACACGTGCTAATCCCATTGTTCTCTTAATCCCCAGTTAACAACCCAACTGCAACTTTTCACGTTTTGCCAACCTTAATTTTGACCCCAAATGTCTAAAGGTCAGCATAACGCAAAGACATCACCCAAGCATGACTGGTTCCAAGATCCCCGGCTTGGTCTGTCGCAGTTTCAAGTTCCCCTCATGAAAACGGTACTTAAACTATAATCAGCAATACAATGCACAAAGGCATTAACACAAGCAACCAATGGACAGGAGACAGTCTTTCATTTTAAACAGTGACAGAAAGGAAACAACATATTAAATTTGATCAATCATAATTTTCAGTAGCAATTTTGGCATATTCCAGTGTTCTTGTCTTTCATGACAGTAGATGATAAAGGATTCATCTGCAACATTACGTCTAATCTGCAATTATCATGACCTTCTCCCAAAGGAACCAATGAGTAGACTCACTGTTTAAAATATAGATATATAAACAGTCTCATTAACAATCATGATTAAAAACAATATGAAGAAGACACTTGTGAATGATGGTTTTGATAGTCTAAAGTCCAAACAGCTAATTTTTAATGTACTTTTTCAATTACATCACTATTTTAGTTCTCCCACACAAGAGGAGGCAAGTAAGGGCTAATCAACGTTACATAAGCTGTGCCCTGTGAACGGCATTGTGGCCAACGTCCACAATATTTACAAGGTAGTGTCTAGCATAATGTTGTAATAAGCAGCAAGTCTCAACATTGAGCCAGCATTTTAAGCACATCCCCTCTACACCAAAATGATCTATGTTCACAATAATTACAGAGTTAAAACCATACTTAAAATTGCTCAAATTTTGGCAATATATATTTGAATGACACAGGGCATGCAGGGTAGGGGCACTCATCATCATCATAATACTGTCATCGGAATACCCTGATCCATTTGAACAGATGATTGCCGTGGGTCTGGGATGCGGTGAATTAGTCAACACCACCAACTCGTAGATACAATTTACAGTGAACTTGTAGACAAACCAGGAGTGAATTCGAGGACATATTTTTTTTAAACATTGGAATTGAATGATAATAATTACGCTGCGAAGGACAAGAGGATCAATTTGTAAGTGGTGAGAGAAGTAGGGGATTAACTTCATTGACCATACTACTGTTTTGTTTTGATCGGATGTGCAGGATCCTTTGATCGCCAATAATATGTTCAACATATATTGTTGGGTATGTCAGATCATAATGCATGAAATAGTTGTTGTCTTTTAAAATTTAAGAGTTGATATACATTTGCCACATAGAATAATATGAATAAATCAATATTTAAGTGTATCTCAAAATTTTATTTGTTTTATCAGAGAGGTTTTCTGCGAATTCTACATGGATGCGAATTAATTTGGTCACGAATATTAACCTAATGAGAAGCAAAGGCTTGTTTTCTGGAGTGTTTCATTTAATCAATGAATATATATGGTCATTTATAACATTAACAACAAGAGACCCAGAGCTCAGTCTCATACTGTTTCCCAAACCGTTCATGTACGTACAAAACGTAGTTGAGAGAAAGCCGGCATTGTGTGATCATGACAGGTGATGAGGACAAAACTTTCAAACTTGCATAAAGTTTAAAAATCTCTTACCCAAGACGAGCCGTGCTACCTCTGACTGCAAAAAATACACAGGGCGCTCCATAACTCCCTTCAAAGCGGCCTTTACTGACAACTTTGTACACAAATTTTCATACTGAAATCTACATTTTTATTGGAGATAAAAGTGTAAACACTTCTCATCTCCTCGTAGATTTCAGAAGATGGCGGCAAGAAATAACGGTCTCATTTCCGGTTGTCGCAATTATACCAAAAGTATTCGATATGAGGTTTCATAGACAATATGCATTATTGTATTGCTTTACATAATATGCTTTAATATGCTTTACTTTATTACCCACTTTACATTCGATTGTATATTATATACATTTCATTAATTAATAAAATCTGCATAGGCAACATGTCGCAAACCAGAAGGTTTAACAAGGGAGGCTACTCTCAAACGTGTCTCAACAACAACATTTGGGTGGCGTGAAATGTGGGGCTAAGTCTGTTCTCATGACGGTGACATTTAGAACACAATCCCGGCATGGATACTCTGTAAAATTTTCACCGTACTTTCCCAACAGGCTAGCCTGTTCCTCTTCCCAATATTATGGCATCGCAGGTATTTTATTTTATTCATATCTAAATGATGTTGAAAAATTCCGAAAAATCTCTCTTGATTATCTTTACTTTAGATCTACTAAATAACTATGCCACTGATTTGTTGTTTCTTTAAAACAATACGGACTGTACTATTTAATGTGATAACAATATGAGCTAGAATTTTTACTGAGATTTGCTGCCGAGGTCGCTGTACTCCCTAATTCCCAGAATGTATCCAAAATGCATGGATCGATACTCATGATGTCAATCACTGGATTGTCTGGTTCAGACTCGATTATTGACAGACTGACGTCATATAGCTGGAATATTGCTGAGTGCTGCATTAAACAACAAACAAACAAACATTGTTATGTGTAAATTAATCATTGACTAAAAGGGGAATTTAAGTCCACAAAGCAACTTTGCAGATTTTATTGGCTTAGGGCGCACATAATCACAAATGCTTGACCAAAGTTAAATATGAAAAACATCAATAGCATAAAACAGACAATAAAAAACGACAGGCTAAACTGATTCCCCTTTCCGGGATTAAAATGGGTTCCCTGTGTTTAACTCGTTGCACAATTTCAATGATCATGATGATCAGTCAAACACCCAGTCTGCCTGCTTCAAACTCGGATTTTGTAAAACGTTTTTGTGGTTTTTTTCTGCTCATCCATTTGATTACTGTGTCCACAACGTATGCATTCAGGTGTTTATTCAGGGAATTAATCCCTGACAGGCAAACATATCAACTAATGAAAACATTTCTCACTTCTGCGCCGGTAGCTTTAGGCCACGCCCCCAAATAGGTTTGCTTTTGCAGCTGATTATGGAGCGTGTGATTTTAGCAGTTTCAATTGGCCATTTAAATACTTTCTACAAATATGATTTTTTCTCTCTCGCAAATTAACTAAATGTATCAAGGAAAATTGATATTCGTAACCAAATCGGAATAATATTTTTAACTTTAATTACCCTTCAAGTATTATTATGATGATAATGCATTTTATTCTCTTTTTTTTTTAAATATTATCTATTTAAAATATGACAATATTCATTTAGGATATTTTATTATTTGAGTATCTTTTATGTCACATGTTTCAGGTCTTTTTTTGTGATATGAGCACTGTTTTCTCGATGAAATGTTTTAGCATGGTTTGTTTTACCTAAAATCTATAATTTCTTGTTAAAGTTTTTCTCTGTAGGGTTTAGTTTCTAGATAAGAATACAAAAAGCAAGACGAAAACCTAAAGGAATTATTCCAACTCTTGTGTGTTTATGTTGCAAGGGTGTGGCACTCTGTTCATACTAGAGCTGAGACAAGACCATATAGCGGCAGTTCGCACCTTTGACTGGAGTGATGGCTTGTTTGATGTGGCTTGGTCAGAAAACAACGAGAATGTGTTGGTGACAGCAAGTGGAGATGGGTCCCTCCTGGTATGGGATGTCCTGCAGGAACAGGTAATGTGTTTCCATGGTTACAGTTGATGAAGTAGTTACAGAGGATTCAGTAACATGAGCCAGATTGGCAAGCGGTGGGGAAGCCAAGTGGTTAAAGATGTCGCTCATCACGCCATAGACCCGGGTTCGATTCCCCACAGGGTACCATGTGTGAAGCCCATCTCTGGTTGTCCCTGCAGTGATATTGCTGGAATATTGCTACAATTGGAGTAACACCATTCTCACATAGGGCAGGGCTCACCCAATTATGTTTCTAGGTTTGTCAGCACCGTGCTCGTGCTCGTGGGTTTCACCCAAGTGGTAAACGTCCGAGACCTGCGTCACTCTTGGCTTTCCTCACACAATAAGCTGACACACCATGGTATAACTGGAGTACTGCTCAAAGCAGCATTAAGCCCAACTCACTCACTCTGACAGTACTTGTAACTGATGTTGAATTCACTCAAGAAGACGAACAAAAATGTATGCTCCACAACATCTCCCACTGATTACTGAATGATTAGATGTGAAGATTAGACAACTTGCCTTTGTACTCGACCCGTGAAGATCCGGGGTAGAATAGGTCTTCAGCAACCCATTCTTGCCGTAAAAGGCAACTATGCTTGTCGTTAGAGGTGACTAACAGGATCGGGTGGTCAGACTCGCTGACTTGTTTGAAGCATGTCATCGATGCCAATTGTGTGGATCGATGCTCATGATATCAATCACAGGTTTGTCTTGTCAAGACCGCCGTCATATAGCCGGAATAATGCTGAGTGCGGCGTTAAACAACAAACCAACCAGGCCTTTGTTCTCCATGCTGCATGATTACCACATCCACTGCTGACCTTGACCTCTGCCTTATCATTTACTTCCAGGGTCCACTGAGAGCATTCAAGGAGCACAGCAAGGAGGTAATTATTGTCCATAGACATATTGTGAGTATTAGGCATCCCTCGTAGCTGATATCAGGCTGAGCCGTGTTTAAATTGTCAACTTCCTCTCTTGGACTATCTCAACAAAACATGACATTAATAATGCCTACAAGAGGTTCACATGTGTTCCAGATAAGAAATTAGAGGTGAGGTTAGGTGAAATGGGGCTTAACGTCGCCTTCAAGATTATTGTACTTATATTGCGACGTGCGTGTGTGTGTGTGTGTGTGTGTGTGGCTGCTTGTACTAGTCCGGACTAATGCCGATCTTTTAGTGCTAGCTCACTGAGATACCATGTCGCAATTTCACATGAATACCCCACTCAGACACAGTATACTGACTCCGAGCTGACCAGTCCTTGTTTTAGCTACTTAATGCTGAGCACCAGGGAGGGTAACAACAAGAACCATCTTTTTACGTCTCTTGCGGCCCGGGGATCAAACTCCAAACCTTCCACTCTCCAGGCAGACGCTGTACCACTAAACCACGGAGGCAGTCCTAAGAACTTAGAAAAATATTTCTATTAGGAAATGCAAATTGAGACATGAAAGAAATCGGCAGGGCTATTTGAAAGTTTGTGTACATAATGATGACAATATGTTGTCAGGTCTGTTGAGGGTGGATCAGCGCCTCAAGAGATCTCTGGAACTGTGTTTTTTGTTTGTTGTGAAATGCCACACTCAGCAAAATTTCAGCTATGTGATGGAAGTCTGTAAATCAAGTCTGGGCCAGACAATCCAGTGATAGAGCATCGATCTATGGTATACAATGACCTGCATCAACCAAGTCAGCGTGCCTGACCACTTGATCCCGTTAGTCGCCTCTTACGACAAGCATGGGTTGCTGAAGACCTGTTCTACCCCGGATATCCTAGTCTCTGGAACTGGGATACCGAATGAGCTGGAATATGCATGAATGCAATATGTTTTCAACATGTTTAAGGATGTTGTAAAAACTTGAAAAGAATCATAATACGTATTAAAATGGTGGGTGTTCTGTGTAATCTTCTTGGTTATAGTTTGTTGTGTGATTTGTTGAATTATTTTATGGTCATTCTGCTGATACCAGATTAATTCTGTTGACTGGAGTCCGACGCGCGGGGAGAATCTTGTGGTGACCGGATCTTGGGATACCCTGATCAAAATTGTGAGTTGACTTATTGCTGTATCTCATGGGTATGTACCATCCTTACATACATCTGATGTCATTAGCACCCTAGGCATTAACAGTAACAAAGGTAATTGCTTAATCATGTGTACATTTTCATTCTCATAACTAGTTTTTAAACTTGCGCGTACAACTGCTCTACACTGAGATCAACAAGTGAATTACCGTCTATTTTGTCTAAAAAGCAGTGTGCATTCATTTTAGTTTCTAGCGAATGTTTCACTCCGTGGCCAACTACTATGCATGTACTTGTCAGTAGAGTCAGGCATGCTGTTTCTCAATCTACGATCCATATCGTGATGTCTAGACACATCGTGAGGCTACTACAGCATTTCCTGTAGTATGTCGCTCTGGCATGCGAGAAATCTGTGATTGTGGGTTCCAATCCCGATGCATCCTGATTTTGTTTCAAGCTTGGTTTACTAGTACTCGTGGATTTCACCAAAGAGGTGAAAATCAAAGACCAGCAACAGTACCAGAGGCGTGTTCAGGAGGGCGAGCGACCGCGCGAGAGTACAGTGAGGCAATATCACGCCTTTCTGAACGGGAGGCGCGTACTCGCTATTGCGGCACAGCATCCAAAATGGCGTCGCCGGGGATCAAAACAGCCCTGTCCACAAGTGTCATAGGTTCACACATTTAATTTCATCACAAGTTTGATGGGTTCATACTTTGATGTTCATGATAACCAAGTGTTTATTTTTATTATTAGTTACATGTCCCTGTGCTGGACCAGACAATCTAGCAATCAACATGAGCATCGGTCTGTGCAATGGGGATACAATGACATGCATCACCCAAGTCAGCGAGTCTTATCACTCGATCCTTACGGCAAACATATGGATTGGGGAAGACCTATTGTCTTCCCTGATCAACACGGGTCAATATAATGAAAATGCAAAAATAACTTTTTGATGGTAGATCTAGTCTAAAAGATTATTCTTTTGACATCGGTTCCATTCTTGTCAAAGGCAAACTTTTGTTCAATGTGCGACGCCATCTTGGATTACGAGGCGAACTACCTCTCGGGCTTGATCGCAAGTACACGCTTGCGCGGTTAGCCGTGTTCAACAGCGCACGCTAGCATAATATCGCGAGCACCCGCCCTCCTGAACATGCCTCTGGATTTCCTGTTACTTGACTGAAATACTGTCCAAAGCAGCATTAGACCTCACTCACTCACTCACTCACTCACTCACTCACTCACTCACTCACTCACTCACTCACTCACTCAGGTGGGATGTACATATCATGTCTATCTTGTTCCCAGTGGGACTTGCATTCGGCTCACTCACTCACTCACTCACTCACTCACTCACTCAGGTGGGATGTACATATCATGTCTATCTTGTTCCCAGTGGGACTTGCATTCGGCTCACTCACTCACTCACTCACTCACTCACTCACTCACTCACTCACTCACTCACTCACTCAGGTGGGATGTACATATCATGTCTATCTTGTTCCCAGTGGGACTTGCATTCGGCCCAGTCGCTAGTGACCTTCAGAGGTCACGACTCCATCGTCTACTCCACTGTGTGGTCACCACATATACCAGCATGCCTTGCATCTGTATCAGGTATGTTTTTCTTCCCATGGCAAGCAATATTTGTGACCCACCGGGACAAAAGGGACCTCATGAGTGTTACGATACAATTACAGTGACGTCATAAAGATGTTTGACATCAACTTACTTCAGTGAAGGTCGTCTGCAATTATTACATGAACAGTTATGAGTCTCAAAATGGGTCCAAATGTGTGATGCCATATATCTCTGTAATAAATATGAATTGAAGCTTGTGAATTGTATTTTTGTGTTCCTAAGATACTGTAGTTTTTAAATATAATGAGAAGTAAAAATGTAATTTTTCACCCAAAAGACCCTAAGAATGTTTTTTAACTTTGGAGATAAGCTTTCATACTTGACAAGAATTTTAGATTTGCCCCTGACTCTAACCAAACAAACCAATCGTCATAACATCCCCCTTCGGTCAGACTTCTGCGAGTGATACATGCTGGGGATTCTGCGAATAGATAAGGAGGACTTCGGGTTGCAGTAGTGTTCCGAAGTGCATTATTAAGAAATACGCAACTTGTGGTCATTGTTTGTCATACAATAAAACGCTTCAAGGAGAATAAACTATGAGGGGTGCAACCCGAAGTGGTTTATTCTCCCTGCAGTGTTTTATTGCACGACAAACAATGACCACTAGTAGTTTTTTTCATATATGAGATACCAACATTATGTACAGCCTTTTTCAAGGATGTTAATAAAATGTTTGAGCTTTAATAATTATTACTCCTTTTTTAGTAATGATGACATCCTGAATACATTCTGACCTTGGCAATGTTGGGCAAGTCCCTTTTATGGACAGAGGAGTTTAATTTGGTGTTTACAGCATATTCTCATTATTCTCACATTGAATTTCTGTATCTTTTCTCCCAATACCGATTGTCATATCTCTCCACTTATGGATGCGACTGTTTGGCCATCATGTTTATCTGCATTGCCCAGCTACATCTATAATGGACCGCCTCCGTGGTCTTGTGGTAGAGCGTCCGCCCGGAGAGCGGAAGGTCCAGGGTTCGATCCCGGGCCTCGTCATACAAAAAGACGTTAAAAGATTGTACTTGTTGTTACCCTGTCTGGCGCTCGGCATTAAGGGGCTAAAACAAGGACTGGTCGGCTCGGAGTCAGTATACTGTGTCTGAGTGGGGTATTCATGTTAAACTGCGGCATGGTATCTCAGTGAGCTAGCACTATAAATCGGCATCAGTCCGGACTAGTACAAGCAGCCACACACACACATACACGTGCATGCACGTCGCTATATAAGTGCAATAATCTTGGACGCGACGTTAAACCCAATTTCACCTCACCTCACATCTATTGGGAACATCGCTCTAGACACTTCCCTCTCAAAAATTACGTCATCCAATTTACGATGTCATCAAGTTGCGAGCTTATGTTTGAGTCTCCTGAAATGTGATGATAGAACAATATTTTATCATGAAATAAAGCATGCTTCATTCTTCATTGTTCTTTGCGATGTTTTGCAAAGGTACCTTATATGTGATATTACATACACTTGGGGAAGTCTACCTGTCTGTCTGTGTGTACATCTGTTGTACCCAACTGTTACAGGCGACCAGACGTTGAGAGTGTGGGACGCTCGCAAACCTAACTTTCCTACTTGTGTTATTCCTGCTCACAGTGGTGAAATTCTTACATGTGATTGGTGCAAGTACGATCAGGTCAGTATCAATAGCCATCATCAGGGGCGGTCAGTGGATGTTCTGAGATGTGATATGCAGGTTATACACCAGAGTTTGAGACAGTTTTTCATCCCCTTGTCCAAGATTAGTGAAAGATTATAAGGACTATGATTGTACTTTTTCAAAAATGTTTCATAAATACGAGCCAGATATGAAGAGCGGAATACTGATTTAGATCATGCTGTCCACTTTCGTAACACATATCCTAGTCAATGGGTGTTTGTTGTTCAATGCACGCACACAATATTCCATCTACATGACGACAAACTTTAAATTATCAAGTTTGGACCAGACAATCCAGTGATTGATATTATGAGCAACACTCATGTTAAGCCATCAACCAAGTCACTGAACCTGGTTCATAATTAAGCCGCCTCTTACGATCAGCATACTTGAAGGGCGGACCATTGCTTTTATACCGGGTATTTGTAATCTTAATTTTTGTCAACCTTTCCCATATATTCTCATCAATATGTATTGAAAATAGGATATATACTTTGTGTGATGTGTGATGGCAAACTATGTAGGCGTACTAAGATGTTTATACATTCAGGAAATGTATAGGTGATATTTATTTTTAAAATAAACACATAACAACACCATAACTAACTTATTTCATGATTACTGAAGGCGAATTGTCAAATCACAAAAAGTTGAATCCGCGGGTGAAGTGGGTCAGTGTTCAGTAGTTGCCTGCCTTGTCTCCAGAATGTCCTCTTCACTGGCGGTGTGGACGGACTGATCCGAGGCTGGGACGTCAGGAGTACGCGTCAGCAAGTGTGTGAAATGCGGGGACACCAGTATGCCGTCAGGAGAATCAGGGTGAGATGCAGACACAGATAACCTTCACTGATGATCACCAGTCCCCAGTGATTTGTTGTCCTGAGTTAATATTTGTTTGTTATTTAATGCCTCTGGACGAGCCATAATAAAGACTAATTTAATCTCATAAAAATCAGATCTTAGTTCTCACTACCGTTATACAAAGTTTTGAGGACATTGCTGGTCACATCAGAACAACATATCATCCGACCAATCAGAGTGTCGGTTACCTGATCAGGAAAGTGACCATCAGAATGTGTTTTCTAATCATGCAACCTCGAGTAGGTTAACATGGGGTATTCTGAATGACATCTCTCGCTTCAATTGGATAAGCATTCAATGGAATGTGGCATAGCTGTGGGAAATACTGCCAAACAATCTCAACCATATCATATACATTCCAGGATGTTCTTTTGTTCAGTTTTCAAAGAACATTGTCAACATAAGTCTGGAAGGGAAGTTGCCAGTTTAAACCTTGTGCCGTATAGCTTGAGAAAGCTGCTGTCTGATTGGCATCTGACATCTGGCATCTGTCTGACATCTTGTTTGTCATTACATTTTTTGGTCAAAGTTCCTGAAAGGTCATTCAGATCTGACCTGTAATGGAAGGTCCTCAGATCTTTGTTTAGCGACAGTGAGAACTATAAGCTGATTTTAACAGGATTGGACTACTTTCTGACGAATTTCTACAAAAATGGGCTCAAAGTATCCCGATTAACGGAATGGTCAGGGAATGGTTTCACCCGATTGTAAATTCACTGTTTCAGACTTCGCCGTTCATGGCGACGAAGCTGATCTCTTGCTCCTATGACTTCACGACTCGGTAAGACGTGACAGATGAGGTCAATGCCAATGCTGAAATTAAGCTTTTGCATTAATTCTAGGCATGTGCATTAAGAATGTGCAGCCCACAATGATCAAATCATACAAAATGCACATGCAGTAGAAACATAGGGGCTAGTTCAAATGCAGCATGGATATTGAAGTACGAAGTTAAAGATTCTCACATATTACACGTTATGCTGTACTGCATGAAATTTCTGTGCAGCATATTTGTGTTGTATTTATTTTCATTTATTTATTTTAACTTTCAGGGTCTAGTTTAAGTCCAATTACGAAGTATTTTGTTACTTTGAAACTGTATTTTATGTCCGATAGAACACGCGTAACAGGACATTAATTACAAATAATGATATTCACCAGCTTTGTTAATTGTTTGTAACAAATGTCAATAGCAGTTACTCGTGTGTAATCCCTACATATTTGAACTCATCACTGGTAATGTGTTCCTTGAAGGACTAGTAGATGTTACAACAAAGACTGCTTGTATCAACTGGTTATCTGAGATCTGTATATTGATAGTTGAGATGGTTGTTTTTCATCCCTAAAGGATCTGGGACTACACTCGCCCCGAGGCCCTGGAGGTGATTGAACACCACACAGAGTTTGTGTACGGCCTGGACTTCAACCTGCATGTACCTGGACAGGTAGGCTATACACAAAACTGGGTATTAATGATATGAAAGACTTAGCCTACTTCAACTCCCACATGGGAATTCTGGCAAAGAATAGGCCCCCAGAACCCCATACCTGTAAAAAGAGCCAACTAAACTGGCATTTAGTGGTCACAAAGACTACCTACTACTCAGATAGTAGTCCTGACTGCTCCTCCATGTCAAGTGAGTGAGTGAGTGAGTGAGTGAGTATGGTTTTACGCCGCTTTTAGCAATATTCCAGCAATATCACGGCGGGGGACACCAGAAATGGGCTTCACACATTGTACCCATGTCGGGAATCGAACCTTGGTCTTCGGCGTGACGAGCGAACGCTTTAACCACTAGGCTAACAGTCCGCCCCCCTCCATGTCAAGGGGTCTGCATGGTAGCCTAGTGGTTACATTATTTACTCGTCACGCAAAAAGGACGATTCGATTCTCAACATGGTAGACACTTACTCCATCCTCCCTTTCCAGATGCCCTTCAAGACTAGTCCTGAATGTTTGTTGTTTGCAGATAGCGGACTGTGGCTGGGATGAACTTCTCCATGTGTATCACCCCAAGTCCTGTATCCCAGCTCCCTGAGCATCATCGAATGGTTGTCTAGTGCTCAGAAGGGACGTTTCACAGCAGGGAGAATACTTCAGAGCTCCAGATAAGCTTTTGGTGTTGTGGGTATTTTACCCATGCATTTTAAAATTATTGGGTATCAGTAATTCTATCTGCGTATTCAAAATTCTGTTACCCACTAGTTTTTACACATGTGGGTATTTAAGTTAAATATTTAAAAACACTATTCATCTAGTCCCTGCAAACTGGTGTCGTGTGGGTTCGAGAGCTTTATGGGACTCAAAAATACCACGATACTTCCACAAGAAAGTGTGATGGCAAATGATCATGATGTTACCGTCATCGTGGAGTTTGGCAAGGTTGACGGAATGCCCGTTTATAATTTCAAAATAAGTTGCTGATTTGCTAATCGAATACGCAGGATTACTTCACAATATTTTGATGATACGCACAAGTTTTATTTTTGTAGCGTATCTGTAATGTTCGTTGCGTATTTCACGCAGATACGCAGCTTATCTGGAGCTCTGATACTTCAAATTTTAATGTTTGAATTGCCTATTATATTGTATTCATAATAATGAAGGTAAAGAAGATTAATTGTATGTTGATTAAAGTGTATATTTTTGTGAGTGTGCAAATATGTATATTGATACACTGTGATTGAATGAAAATTAATTTAGTTTCTTTGGTCAAATGAATTATAAATGAATATAATAAGTGTTTGACAAATCAATGCTAGAACAGAGTTCAATGTGATTTGATTACCCAGACATAATACTGAATACTTTAAACTTTCCCCTGTGCAGGGATATTGCACAACCAACAAAGGTATCATTTAAAAAAAGACTTATGTTTACTATATCAGACAAAATGCAACTCTGATCTTGCTACCCAGCCTTTGATCTCCATTATTCAATATCTTATGTTTTTTTAGTTAGTTTCATATTTCATTGTACATCAGTGGATTTCACATTCTCTCGTTAATTTCATGTTTTGTTCTTGGTGTATGTCAACAGTTCAATAAGATTCTTGCAAAAGTTACGGGTAAATTGAGCTGCAGGTCTTAGAGCATTTACAACATTATAGCCAGGAATTTCCACTTGATGCCTGTCACTGGATAACTGGCAGAAATAGGCATTAGTTGTAACATCCCAAAACTAACAAACCTTAAGCCACAAATCAGGATGATGAGGCAAATTTGATTTTCATCTTACTGGATATTAGAGAAATTATGGCAGTTGTTTTTGAGTTATTGTTTTTCGATCAGTCCTGTTAGATGTTTGAATTTACGCTGATAGTTATCCATCCATATAATTCTGTCATCTGTCATGTATTTGTACATATCAAACATACCTTTTATCTATTATGATGAATTCTACATGAACTTTTATGAGTCCCTTATAAATAATCAGAAATATTATTATTAAACAACCAAAGCATGTTTGTTTGTTTTGGTCCTTCATAGTGGGCTTGAAATGGTACAGTCAGCCAATACAGTTGCGTTTATCAGTACTGCAGCACTATGCCAACAGCTGGAAGACTCCAGTTCACAAACTGAATCCACATGAGAACATAAAAAGGACACATCATGGATGGCTTTTGATGTTAAGCCCTTGTTCTGCAAGTACTTGATCACTGACGTTTCTCAAGTTTTTCCATTTTCCGAAGGTCCCAGATCCCTGCTTCCTTTACGGACTTGTCGCTGCGAAACAGTTTGCTCAAACGACTCAAGTTTTTGTGCATAAACCTCCATGACATCATGTAATATCCACAACAAAAGATGTCGCTATTACGAAACTACTTCTATGTGAGGCGTTCAATCAACCCTGGTACTATGGGTGTTTGGTATTACATGGATACCCAAGGCTACCACCACTCTTGGAATGGAAGCCATCATTCTTATAATAAGCACACAATAAATAATCACGGTCTAAAACCTTCTACATTGAAATGGAAAATGAACGCTGATATAGAACTTTATTGTCAGATGGAGTGTCACATAAATCAAGTAAGAAAATAGAAATATTGCCAACAACAAAACAGCAACAGCATCATAGGGAGAAGACAGTAACAATGGGATCCTCATGTCTCTGACAGGCCTGGATCACTGCAGGAAGGTCAGATGCAACACAGACATGTGTCAAACACACACCTAATCTTTCAAACCTAATTCATCATGCTAACCAATTACAGTATGAATAGGATCTGTGGACTAGAATGCAGTTTTATTATCAACATAAACAAACAAAAAATCCTGGAGAAAATAAAACTATGGTAAAATTGATTTACCAAAACAAAGTATTAGGACTGGGACAGTAACTCAGGTACACGTTTCGGGTGGGTCCTGAGTAGGACCCGGGTACCCACAGGACTACCTGGACCCGTGGTAAGTCAGGTAATATGTTGTTTAATAAGAACAAAAATAAAACTCTATGGTTACATTACAAGTTGCTAATGTTTGCATTTCTTTCAGACTATGCATGCATTCCTTCTGACTTTTACTTCTTTCATTTAAGATAAAGCTTCAGTTAACTTCAGTGTATACATGATAGTTTTTGCCCCGGATCCAGTGAAACTGTTCCCAATCGGACATATACACAACTCAAAAGACCTGCAGCTGGTACCAGGATAGTAAATTTGGACTCGTCCAAACCCTACAAACATTAGTTAAATATGCTGTGCATATCTAATGCAGATATTAAACCTATGTTAAGTTCTTGATAAGATCAGCATGCAGCTGGTTCCTTTGACTGTGAATGCCTGACCCACCTGTCTTTAGATAGCCCCGTGAGGAGGTCGCCCTTTATACAAATACATCAAACAACATAATCATATAATGTCTCATTAGCCATATAATAGACATGTTGAGTGGAAATGATAAAGAAAATATTATGATAATTAAAATATGCACTGGTGCAAGAAATAAGATGGAACTTCATTTGTTGTCACGTGACTATAAGATTGTGTACAACATACCGGTATGACAATGTTGGTCCAAGTCTTACTATGTTCTTTATGAAATCACTAAGTGAACATTGTAAATAATTCCACAGAACATACGATTAACTGCATTTTCCCTCAAGAATGAGTCCGCGTTCAACAAGCTTGGCCTACACAGTTACCTGGAGAAAATGCTCAGCTTGGCCTACACAGTTACCTGGAGACTATGCTCAGCTTGGCCTACACAGTTACCTGGAGAAAATGCTCAGCTTGGCCTACACAGTTACCTGGAGAAAATGCTCAGCTTGACCTACACAGTTACCTGGAGAATATGCTCAGCTTGGCCTACACAGTTACCTGGAAAATATGCTCAGGTTTGCATCCTAGACAATGATCAAATATCTTCCTCACCGAAGATGGCAACATCTTGTGTTATTTAAATAATTTGAAATTATTTTATTACCCCAAAATACACAAGTCCTATACAAGAATTAGGAATCAGTTTTTACAGCTGTTGAGCCCGTATGGATTGTGAAATTCAGTTAATATGGACAAATAGTGAAATGAGTAAGATTATCAAACTGTCCAGATTAACAATCGATGGGAAGGTATGGTTTCTGGATTAATGTGATCTAACATAACATGGATTGGCTGTTTATCTACTGATATTATATGACAACCCATAGTGTCAGAGTCATCAAGGATTCTGCTGTCTATTTCTTCATTTAGAACTTTGTTCTATGTGTACGTCAAATGAAGACATGCAGCAGAATCTATCACAGTCTCTATAATGTAAAAACATTAAATGACAAAATAAAAATACATACAAACAATATTGTCAAAAACTTGACTGAGCTACTGTTGCACTAAATAACAGTCTGTATTGCTTAAAGCAAATAATAGTATAAATAACTTAAAAAACCCAAACAAACCAAAGCTGTTCTGTCAACCTATCAAAAAAAAAATACATTCGAATATGTCGAAACTATAAATAGTATGTTAAGATTAAAGAGTTAACAAAGTCTGTACTATCACTCAGTTTTGATATAATGCTTAGTGTTCAACGTTTGTCATGAAAGAATAGTCATATGTCAACTGTATGATTCTTGCTGAAAATATCACAAAGCGAGGTGAACTGATTCCTTCAGTTGAGCTTGTTGCTGCTGATACGTGATTGAGCATACACAGCATTAGCCATATCATCCTCCACTTCCGAGGTACGTGCTCGGATCTGAAACAGGTCAAGGTCATGAATGTCAGTGAGGGTGAAAGTGGCTTAACCCCTCAGACCGCAACAGCCCAAGGTCAGAAACGTAACACTGATATACAGTTTCACCCCTCAGAACTGAACAAGACTAAGGTCATAAACATGAATGAAAATGAATGGGGTTTAATCTCTCTGACCTGAAGGTCAAGGTCAAAATCAACTAGGGTTTCACCCCACACGATCTGAACCAGGTCAAGGTCATGAACTTGAGTGAAAATGAAAGAGGTTCAATGTCATGGTCATCAACATTCAGATATGCCATTGCCACAAGTCATGGTCTCAACAGTTGTTTTATCCAACAGGCACATGTCGCCACAAAAGAGAATCCAGCCTCTTAATTCACCTTTTTTACTTTCTTTTTCTTGGCCTTCTCAGGAGCGAATGAGATTGGTTCATCATCCTCATATTCCTCATCACTGTAGGTTGTCCCACGACGAGACCGTTCAGACTGAAACAACAAAAATATTGTTTGTCAGATTTAGTCTGCGCATTGGTTTGAGAACTCCCTCTCACTTGATCCAGGCAGTAGTTGGATTCATTGGTTAAAAATAGCGGCTACACTGCAAATTGGACGTACAGTAAACTATGCTTATAATGAACACGTTAATAATGAACTGACGGACATAAACTTAATGTTTGGTCCTGGCCATGCGCTGTATATATGTTGTATATATGCTTATAACGAACTATAGGAATAATGAACTTAAGTTAGTGGTCCCTGTGAGTTGGTTATAACTGTAGTTTAATGCATGTATCCACCAGTGATGGAGGAAGGTAGTGTACACAAATCGTGCAACATTGACGATGCCTTGAATGAGGAACCATCTGCGAGCTTACCATCTGGGCCTTGCTGACATGGTTCTCCACAGTCTGGATCTTGCTGAAGATTCTCCTGTACCAAGCCTTCTTGTCGGGGCCGCCTTCTGCTCTTTGTCTGTCACATACAAAAACAACTTGATACCACAAGCTTCGAACACTCTACATAATATCTTCATTATCTATACTTATCTCTTAAGCAAAACTGAATTATCAATGAGATGCTATCATCATGGATATTAATGAAACTAGAATTCCAAATATACATTCCAAATTCAAACACAATCATGTTGGTACATCTACATCCTACAGAGTAACCTTGCCCTTGCCCTGTGACCATCCAATGACATGCAAGAACACTACTTGTTGCAAACTATGGTTGTGTTGCAAATATGATGTCTTCATACCATACTAACAATATTTCTTCTATTGCATCGCAATGGCAATGATCGCATCCAAAAGTGGTCAATATATGGCAATCGGTTTTAGTGAAAGGTACAGATAGTGCTTGCTCCTAAAGTAACCCCAGTGCTGGTTTCTCTGGTCGAGGGTTGTCGGGTAGCCTTGTGGTTAAAGCGTTCATTGCCATGCCAAAGAGGCGGGTTCGATTCCCAACATTGGTACAATGTGTGAACCCCATTTCTGGTGTCCCCCGGTGTGATATTGCTTGAATATTGCTAAAAGTAGCGTAAAACCATACTCACTCACTCACTCTCTAGTCTTATACAAACTCCAATTCCTTAACGTCACACCATCAATGCTGAACGAGACTAATGTTATTCTCACACTCAGTCATATAACACATATATTTCATCTCAAGACCTGATAAAACTGACAATTTCACTCAAGAAACCACAAACTTTTTCAGGTTGCTCAGTTTGACAAGATTGCCAAATATCATATCTATATACATACGCAGATCTCCAGGCCAGCCGCTGGTTCATGAGTGCAGCACCTCGGGACATGGTGTACTCTCCTTCAAGGGCAAGATTAGCAGTCTTCTGAGCAGCATGGGTGCCCAGCACATTCAGGTCAATGTCTGGAAGTGTGGGAAGACTATGCACTTCACATATTATGAATCAATAAAACTAAAACTCTAGCAGAGAGTTTTCAGATTTGAGCTTAACTAAAATTGGTCTGATATGGTATATATATTCATGAACATATGATTAGGGTTTCTGGTATGTGACCTTGAACACAAAAATTCAACTGTACTAGAAACAATTCCCATCCAAGAATGGCTTGTGCCAGAGTCTTCATTTTGTAGCATTCCAGTTTGACCAATGCTTGACACACATGAATTAAGAGATAATAAATGTTGACCTAGATCACCTGTTGATCTTATGATGTCACATCAGTCATTTTGATGCAAAAGATACAATGTCACAGTAGGACTTACAAAAATGCCAATTTTCAAACTCTCTGTTGTCCCTAAAATTTTAACAACACACTTTTTAGTTTGAGGGCCCAACTGTACCGCCACTAATATTTGAATTTTGTAGTGACAGCTACTCAGCATTTACCTATAACTGCACATATCAGTATTTCAAACGCCCCCCAGAACATGACTGAGAAAGAAGTAGTTTTCCATAAATACAAGTCTCCTTTGGCCATCATATCAGCAGTTTCAATCAGAGGTGGTTATTGTGATTTGAAACCCCTGATTGAACAGTATCAAGTATTTTCCGAATTCTTAGTGGAATGTCCAATTCCAAATCAATCATTGCCTGTAAATGCTACATTTCACCAAACAGGATCAAGAACAGTAACTTTGACCTGCTTAATATTGACCAATTTAACTTGCTCTCAAACATCTGTGGTCTTAGCTCATTCATAGTCCTGTCATGACTTTAGACATGTACATCAATAGATACATGAAGCTGTTTCTAAAATATACTTCAAAGACAGAGGCACCTACTCTTCTCAGCCAGGTCCCTGTCATGTGTGACTGGTTTCGTCTGTGTGAGGACTCGCAGTGCCTTCATGCCCTCAGTGTCTGTGTATCGGATCTGCAGCTGGAAGGGCAGCTCCGCTGGAACTGACTTCGGCTCTGGACCTCCTCCAGCAGATGTAGATGAGGTGGCAGTGACCTCAACATCAGCAACTGTGTCAGCAGTAGGCACAGCATCAGGCTCAGCACCACCTTCACTCACAGCATTAGCATCAGGCACAGCACCAGCTTCTGTCTTCACCTCCTCCATTACTTTAGCTACGAAAAATACGAAAGTAAGGTGAGTTGGTCTCTATCCCTCTACAAATAGTATTTCAGTTATGTTGCATCATTACAGCTTATATGAAAATAAAGTCCAAAATGACACAGGTCAACATTTTTACCACTGGGCGATCAAACATGACAGACAGAGGTTCATTAAAGGTGTCAATCTGGAAGCAGGTAACAAAAAGGATAATCCTCAGACAATCATAAAGAACCTGTAGAAATGTACATCATGAGGACAGGCATGTAAGTGTTGACATCACCAAAATTTCCCCTACTCACATAGCATCATCTCACTTTTGTCCTCCTTGGCTGTTTTACTCTCCACATTCTCAGGTCGGACGCCATATTCAAAGGTTATCTCAGTATCACATGTTACATTGCCGACCTCCCGCACGGATCTACTCTCCTTCTTGTCATTGTTCTCATGATGAATGTACCTGAAGGAATGCAAAGTAAGCATAAACCTGGCATAGAATGTCTACCATAAAATACACCATCTAGACATAACATTATCACACACACAGATGCTGAGGCAAAGTAAGCATAAACCTGACATGGAATGTCTACCATTATATACACCATCTAGACATAACATTATCACACACACAGATGCTGAGGCAAAGTAAGCATAAACCTGACATGGAATGTCTACCATTATATACACCATCTAGACATAACATTATCACACACACAGATGCTGAGGCAAAGTAAGTATAAACCTGACATGGAATGTCTACCATTATATACACCATCTAGACATAACATTATCACACACGTTGATGCTGAGGTAAAGTAAGTATAAACCTGACATGGAATGTCTTCCATTATATATACACCATCTAGACATATTATCATCACACACATTGATGCTGAGGCAAAGTAAGCATAAACCTGACATGGAATGTCTACCATTATATATACACCATCTAGACATAACATTATCACACACACAGATGCTGAGGTAAAGTAAGCATAAACCTGGCATAGAATGTCTACCATTATATATATATAATCTAGACATAACATTAACACACACACTGATGCTGAGGCAAAGTAAGCATAAACCTGGCATAGAATGTCTCCCATAATATACACCATCTAGACATAACATTAACACACACACTGATGCTGAGGCAAAGTAAGCATAAACCTGACATGGAATGTCTACCATTATATACACCATCTAGACATAACATTATCACACACACTGATGCTGAGGCAAAGTAAGCATAAACCTGACATGGAATGTCTACCATTATATACACCATCTAGACATAACATTATCACACACACTGATGCTGAGTGTTTACAAATTACAAATAAATCAATGTTGCCAAAATAATTATCAACAGTTTATTTCCTAATCAGAGGGAAGTTAAGGTAGTGGTTTAAGCATTTGTTCATCACGCTGAAGGCCCAGAATCGATTCCCCACATAGGTACAATGTGTGAAGCCCATTCTGGTGTCCCCCGCCGTGATATTGATGGAATATTACTAAAAGCAGCATAACAACCTAACCCACTAACTCACTCCTCACTCAAAACTACATGTACAAGATAATCTAGATATGAATGCTTTGAATATACCTTGTATTTTTAACTCTTTAATATATAAATACTCCATTTAAAATATATTGTGAATATGGTGACTACAGGCCACAGGGCACTGTTGAGAGCTGAGAGCAAAGGAAACTAATCTTGTCTCCATTATTGGTGTCAGTATCTGTCAATGTTCGCAGTCAATAATCAAAATCAAGAACAAGTAGCCATGTTAAATATGTCATGTCAAAAATGTTGTGAGAGTGAGTGAGTTGGGTTTAACGTCACTTTGAACAGTATTCCAGTCATATCATTTCATGTCAGTTTACTGTGGGAGGGAAGTCAGAAGGGATGCAGGCCTTAGACGTACACTACTTTGGTAAAACCCACAAGCATACGTATGGAACTGACAAACCTAGAAACATAATTGGAGTGAACCCGGATTCGAACCCACAATCATAGGTTCCTGGCGTGTCCAAGGAACGCAACTCTGCACAGTGAATTGTGGCACCTTAAGATGACTATACCCCCAAATGTTGTGAGAAGTAGCATAACTATTTACTATACTTGATACACTGACATATCATAAAAACCTATGGAGAATTACAACAGAAAGTGCCAACTCACAGCTGCTTGTGTAGGTTGAAGGTAGCCACCACGTTGGTAGCAATGGTGCGATCAGCCAGTATAGTGCTGAACTCCTGAGTGAGCTTCAGAGGGTCTACAATGTTCACCTGCAGCACAAAGGGCATGATGAAGCTATTTACACAAATAATTTAGGGGGCTGCATTACACCAGAAATAGCTTCAACAATACAACAAAATACAACAAGATCCTTCCAAACAAACAAATTAAACATTTTATTATAAATTGTATATTGATATACTTATCCTATCTCACACTATGCATTTATCCTTTTCTTCTTTGGTCCTATGTGGAAATGTGCTTGGACCATGTTTCCAGCTTCTAAAACAAACACACCCCAGTATCCCTCTGGTTACTAGACTAGAGGAACTGAGATGCAGGATGGTCGGGTGGGCATATCGGGTGAGATGGGATAAGTGAATAAATATGCAATTCATCAACAACTTATCCTATCTCACACTATGCATTTTATTCCACTGTTGGATGGTGGGCCACAGAAACCCTAGCCTGTATAGACTACAACCCTGAGATATACACGAGGAAACTGGAACTGAACAGTGCAATAATAAAATATTAAAAACACTGCATAAAGACATGAACTCATGAGCGGGAAAACACACCAACAACTGGTGATACAATCCTGATACGTTTATCGGCATGAGATTGGGGATATATGCCAAATCATGTTTTCACATGTGTCTTCGTTCATGGAATGACCGCGTAGCTGTAACCATACAGGCAATACACCTGATGACTCAAAATCGATCCTGGACCAGTATAGATTCTTCAAGACAGGTTGCAGCATTATCTCTGATGGACAATAGGGTATGACAGCTTGGCATCTCTTATAATGCTTCGTCATGGCTATCAAACACTTGCGAGTGTATGAACACCGACGGCAACTTCGATGGTGAAGACCAAAGTCTCCACAGACCACTCTCCAAAAGGGAATTCGTTCTGCAAAAACCTTAATGATGCAGATGAAAGGGGAATGAAGAGCCTCTTCCGGGAGCATCTACGATGATGAGAAGCCGCCAGATAAAGACAAAGCGCTTGTACTGGAGAAAGGGAGAGATCTTCCTGGTCATCCAAACCCAAGTTAGACATGCACATCAGGATCGTAAACAAACCATCAGGTTGGCCGGGAAGCTGATTCTTGGCCATAAAATCCCAACGGAGGCCCAGGTACGACCTGCCATACTCAGACCACTCAACCTGGACCCTGATGACATCCAAAGTGTGAATCTTGCTAACATGAGCCACAGCAGCCATGGCCAATAAGAACACAATTTTCAGCGTGATCATCTCAAAATCCTTGACTGCCATTGGATCATATTCACCCAAGTCAAGTGGTGCAAGACAACGTTGAGGTCCCAGGATGGATGCCAGAAACGAGAGGATTGGTCCGCCTATTTGTTGGAGCGGATAAGGGATTGGAGTTCCGCAACAGAGGAGACTTTCGCACCCAAGGTAGTCAATAACCTACTTGGGTCAATGAACTTCAAACATCAGAACAACATTTCCTGTATCCTTTTTAACCTTCAGAGTATCTTTTTACTACTTTCCTCCTTCACCTTCAAACCTTACGATATTGAAGCCATGTATAGAGATGGCTGCAAGACTGTGGCAAATGTTAAATAGGAAATATTGCAATTTGTGTGAAGTAATCTGAGCACTCATTGGTCTCTCTGGCTTCCGTCTTGGTGGGACAAGGCCATGGTCTAAGTATTGACGATGTTTTAATGTCTCAAAGACTTTGGATGTTAAAATTATAAAAGCACTCACCTGCCCTCCCGTTTTATCTGCCAACTTCCCCAGCTCAACAAGTTTACAGTCAGTTCCCTTGATGGTCACAACCGAGATAGACACACTGGAACATACCAACACTTGCATTAATGGTGACATTTTGACACCTAGATCTGTGAACCCAACTCAGCCTAAAGACATCTGAACACAAAGACATTTCTCTCTGTTAATGATATTTGTCACAGTGGCTTACCCCTGGTCCATGGCTTGGGCACTGATGTTTTCATAAAAACCACCAGTATCAGAGTCTGGCATTGAGTCATCCAGCTTCCCCATCCCAACGTTAGCCATTCCATCAGTACAGAGGATCACCTTTGACCCCGGGTGCCGTGATGCCATGGCAACAGCAACAACCAGAGTTGGTCCCAGGGCTGTGGCTCCTCCCTCCTCAAGGCTAACAGGACAAAACACATAAACTACATCAACATTCAGCATGAAAACAGCACTACGACACGATTAAGGCCAGGTTCAGGAACATCATTGACATGACACTATGTTAAAGAGTTCCTACACACCATGATCTAAAGCCACTTTTCAGTCTAGGTCTAGACATTGTAGTGTGTGAAACCTAGACATCGTCTCTGCATAATAAGCGAGATCATTAACTCCTAGAGTGATACATATCATAAGGCTTAAAGACATAAAAGAATTGGTTCTCAGGCAATGGCTTTTGAAAATTAAGTGCAGGCGGGTGGGATTTTTTAATTATTTTTTTCATTTTTACTGGTATGTAACCAAATAAACAGTTGTGTACAATTAACATAGGAAAAGGATTCCCTACATAAATGTATTCCTTGATGAGTATAATACTGGAATACAGTATTTGATAACCATTGGACCAAGACTATTATTTGTTTTTGCCTAATATTTGAGTTTATTAATAGTATACACACAAAGTGTTATTTTAATGATTTGAATCAAACTTGCAGGACTGTCAAATTGCTTAATGGTAGTACCCCCTTTAAGCTAAATGCAACAAGTCTTAATTCAGAAATAAAATTTATGACACAAAAATGAACTATACTCCTCAATAGGAGAACATCCTACTTCTTCATATGACTATAGTTAATTTGTTATGCCATGACATGATGTTTCCAATGCAATAATACTTCCATACCTGAAAAGTTTATCTCCAAGACACTTTCGGGTTTCCTTAATGGATTTTGGTGTGTTCAGGTCTTTTCCAAGTTTAACAAGCGCCTCCCGATTAGTCAGCTTATCCCCAGCCACGGACGTTTCCTCCTCTGTTCCGTCCCCAATAACAGTAACCTGGAAGATCACAGCAACGTGGTGCCCTGGTCATTTATCAAGCACACACATCTTTCAGTACATGTTGGAAGTTGTGCCTACATGGTAACAGGAGTTTATAAGCAATGAGCATTCAGCCTTACAACACTAATGATGGAAACAATAAAGTAAAGGATTCATTTTCAGTAAACTCAGTTTAACTGGTTCAGTGTGACAATAATCTTGTAACCTGCCAGAAGATGCTCCACTCAATATGCGACTCCACTGCATTCAAGATTATTGCTCTTATGCCTGCCCTGCCCTGCCCTGCCCTGCCCTGTCTACTTGTACTAGTTCACACTAATGCTGGTATTATAGTGCTAGTCTACTGAGATACTATGCCACAGTACGACATAATACCCCACACAGACACAGTAGTCTGACTCCAAAACCGACCAGTCTTCATTTCTATCCCCATAACGCCCAGCACCAGTCATGGTAACAACAAATACAGTCTTAAAACGTCTTTTGATATGACGCGGCGAGGTATCGAACCACCGACCTGCTCTCCATGCAGATGCTCTATCCACTAAACAATGGAGGCAGTCACTGTGATGAGGAGGGGAAGTAACAACATTAAACACACAGACGTCCAAAAAATGGGATTGGGGGTCAGACTGGCTGACTTAGTTGAAGCATGTCATCATTTCTCAGTTGTATAGATTGATGTTCATGATGTCAATCACTGGATTGTCTGGTCCAGGCTTTAATATTAACAGATCGCAATCATATAGCTGAAATATTGCTGAGTGCGTCGCTAAACAAGAAACAAATAAACCAATTGTCAAAATGACAACTGACAACTTGGATAGCCAGATTTATTTACAAGTGATGATACACTTACATTTGTGCCCAAATATATTAAAAGATGGTACTTGTTGTTACCCTGTCTGTAATGTTGGACGTGACGTTAAACCCCATTTCACCTCACCTCACATTTGTGCCCATTTACATCAACATATCACCCTCATATCTCTGCTCATCAAAGTTGGTTGGTTTGTTGTTTTACGCCGCATTGCAGCAATATTCCAGCTAAATGAATTCCAGCTGTAAATAATCGAGTCTGGACCAGACAATCAAGTGACCACCCGATCCCGTTAGTCGACTTTTACGACAAGCATAGTTACCTTTTACGACAAGCATAGTCGCCTTTTACGGCAAAGCATGGGTTGCTGAAGACCTATTCTACCCCGGATCTCTTTACGGGTCATGCTCAAAGACATGGACTTTACCTCATTATCAAATGTGATGAGTCCGACTCTCCGATTAGGGTGATCTTTCTGCATTTCTTCAAGCTGGTGATCAACAGCAGCCTGCACAGATTGAAGTCTAGACACGTAGGTCACGTCACGTTTCTGCCGAGGCAAAAACTGATCTTCATGACTGTCATTCAGACTCTGCATTCTCTTCAGCCCACCCGAACCACGGAGTCTCAATTTGCCTGGAACCTGTCATCATAACAAACGTACATATGCAGCAACAGCCAGAACATGTTTCAAACTGTATGACGGAATTGTTGTTGCTTTATGTTCGTAGTATATAATATAATAAGTGCAGTAATAGTTCACTGCATAGGGCAGTAACAGTTCACTGCACTGGTGGTTTTATTAAAGACACTTCTGTATTGTTTCCTGACACATCAACACATACAGCTTCCCAATACATACTGCTTCCCAACACATCAATACATACTGCTTCCCAACACATCAACACATACTGCTTCCCAACACATCAACACATACTGCTTCCCAACACATCAACACAATCTGCTTCCCAACACATCAACACATACTGCTTCCCAACACATCAACACATACTGCTTCCCAACACATCAACACATTCTGCTTCCCAACACAGTGAGACATGGCACTGACATACCTCTGTGGTGACACACATGCTTCCTGACACATCAACACAGAAGATGACGAGCGACTCCTCGCGTCCACTGACGCCTGTTGCTTGAGTGGCTGGTGCAGGTTCAATCAGGAATGTGACATCATCCATCTGAGGGATCTCCTCCTCCTCCACATCAACAAGGTTCCTCTCACCACAGAAGTTGCACTGCCATACCTAATTCCCCCAAAAATATCAAATCTAACATGTGCACATGATCTGAAAAAGTATGCATGCAACTTCTATCAAGATTGTCACTTTCTTTACATCAAATGAAACTATCACTATTCATAATGCTATTGAAGTAGACAGTTACACTGCAAAGAGAATCATTTCTAGGTAAGTGTTCTCCTACTAATGAGTCTCCTCCTGGTAATGAAGGACAGGAATCGGTCAAGCATTAACAGAGTGGTGACACCAGTACACAGGGTATTCAGCCATTTATTCATGCTATAGTGACTTTGCCCAAGTGCACAAAAGGTTTGCACTTTGAATTGAAAATTTACCAGTCTCCCAGACTGATCTGTTTGTTCCAGAGCTCCTGATAACTTTTTGAGCAATTGAGTTTTTACTCTAGGGTTTCTATTTTAATTGGGTTATAACATTTTTCTTTGGGTAACCAATATTATTTCACTCATCCATTCATTCCTCTATTGGGTTTTCCCCAAAATTTGTGTGGGAGTGAATATAGTTTTACGCCGCTTTTAGCAATATTCCAGCAATATCACGGCAGGGGACACCAGAAATGGGCTTCACACATTGTGAACATTATAAGATTTTTAAAAAAATAATAATGTTTTAGATGTATTTAACTTCTAAATATATAGGCTTGACTCAGAAAGTAAATTAGCTCATAATTGTGTTTCGGAAATTAGCTCTGTTGTATGCATGCTGAAAAAGCTTCATTGGGTATTTACGCGTGCTGTTTTTATATATTTGAGAAATTGAAAGTAATTGGGTTTTGAATATTTTGGGGGAGTATTTTACTCAAATACGCAGCTTATCTGTAAGTCTGTTGTTCCATTATTACATCTTGAGCATGTGAAACAATGTTAAACAAGTGCAATATGTGAAACACTGAAATCATGGTAATATACAAAACAATGTGCAATGTAACTCCATCGTGGTGTGAGTGAATGTTGTTTTCAACACATACAGCTGTTTTCTAACTATCACAGTCAACTGTAAATAATCCATGGCCTGGCAAACCAGTGGTTGACAGAATGAGCAGATATCCACACCATCAGGGCAACATGATGCACACTAATCAAGTTCAAATATTCCAACCACCTGTTTCTCAAACATCAACTCTGGCAACAAAAATGGCACACTGCTTATCGGGATAGCCTACAAGAGGCAGGTTTCATGTGATCACTGTGTACTGTTAATCAGTTACATGTCTCGATTATTAGTTGGCCAGTTATTGTCATTTGACTTTGAGGTGAGGTTTGAGATGATCCCATCAATTAATATGCAATAAACAAGGCAGCAAGGTGTCTGCACAGAATCAAAGAGTTTTTTGTGCCTCAGTAGAATTTGGGTTGGGGAGATAACTCTGGTCAGTTAACAAGGATTTAGATATCAGGACACTTGTTTATCCAGACAATATTTGAGAAAACACAAGTGTCCGGTTAAGCAAGGTTCGACTGTATTCTGGGATCAATCATGGAAGACTATTATACTGAGAACTTGCTTATCCTTACCTTGTCAGTGCCATCTGATACAATCTGTGCAAGTTTAGAGAGAATGGCCTGACACTGAGTACAGTACACTGGGTCTCCAGCATGCATGTTGCTTGGGGCAACTAATTCATTCAGCCGAATGGACACAACATTGGTGTCTGCACGTCGAAACTTTCGTGACTTAGGTGCATGTGTTGGCGCTGAACGATGTCGAGGAGCCGACTCTGTAACATCATCTGCAAGAGTGAGACAGTGTAAACAAGACCACCAAACCTCTGCATTGGTATCATGGCACAAGCTAAGACTGTTAATAAAACTTGATATGAACTGTATTGAGTACACATGTAATAATGTGAGTGAGTAAGGTTGGTTTTACGCCACTTTTAGCAATATTCCAGCAATATCACAGCAGGGAACACCACAAATGGGCTTCACACATTGTACTCATGTCGGGAATCAAACCCAGGTCTTCGGTGTGACGAGTAAACACTTTAACCACTAGGCTACCCAACTGCCCCACATGTAATAATGATTTCATGTCCCATTACAGCATTGTTAATGCAATAATGATATCTTTGCTCATGTAACGCAGAGAGTGAGTTTGGTTAAAGCCCCCTCAGAAACGTGTTGCAGTTTTATCCCAGCATGTCAGTTTCATGTGGGATTGAAATGATGCAGATCTTAGATGTTTACCACTTTGATAAAACCCACAAGCACAGGCGTGGTGTTGACAAATCTAAAAACATAATCAGGGAAATGAGGATTGAACCCATGAACATAAGATTCTGGAATGAATAACTAGGGGGCATAACTCTGCACAGCAAACTGTGGTGACTTGGATAACAAGGCCATTCATGTAATACAACTAAATTCGAGTTCTGCTCTGAAAAGAAAACATATGGATATACAACTAAGTGATGAAATGCATCTTTATACTCACTGCCAACTTTGTATAAAACTGTCGATATTAATGGTAAAAACAAAATCATCATAATTTAAACAATCCCAACTGTAATCCTGTGTGTATGAACCATATTTAAACCTACTTACTTGTACTACATGCTTTCTTCCATGAGAATATTTTCTTGCCCTTCTTCTGTTCTGCCCTCCCAGGTGGCAGTGGGGGAAGGACTGAGCCTATGTACAAAAGAATCATGAAGTCTCATGCTACAACAGACTTACAACATACATTCAGGTATCAAAGTGTATATAATATCTCAATTATTTGGCAGTTGTGTTGAAATTGATAAAAGGTTTGTCATTTGTAGTCCTGATCGATATCAATAAAAATGGATTTTCTTCTCTGATTTGATACCTCTCTGTCAAGATCTTAGAGAACATAGGAGGTCAAGTCAGGTGAACAATGAGCAAACTAGGACCGCTCAATGAGGATGAAGGCCTGTACCTTGTTTAAATAATTTAATGAATTATCCACATCATATACATACAAGATGGGGCAGGAACAGACTTCGAATCATCTTCATCTTCGTCATCTGACGAGCCAGAGTTGCTGAAAAGTATCACAACATTGCAATATTGTCCATGGCCCAATGGCAATCAGTTACCAACATTAACTCTGAATTACACAGTCTTGAGTAAAACAGTGACTGTGAATACATACTGATACATAGCTCAACATGTTCAAGAAGTTAATGTTACAGCCCTTTGAAAGTATAATGAAAACATACCTCAAAACTTACTTTTTCACTCATTGACATTTTAATCAAACTTGTCTATGAGAATTCCTACATTATTGAAATAGAGACTGTTGAGGTAAACACATACTATCCAATCTCTATAGTATTTTTAACGAGCCTAATCGTGGTGCCGTTTTCTTCAGCGAATTATAGGGCCGTTGTGGCAAGGCCAAAGGGGCCAAATATAGCCAACACCCTTATGACGATATGGTTATACATGCTGACAAAGATCTAGATGACAGCACAAAACAACCTTACCTTACTTCCATTCCATGGTCATATTCTTCGTCGGACACAAATTCAAACTCTGGCTCTACGTTTGCATAAATATATGGTGACGCAAAATTCATGATGGATAAAAAATTTGGCCCAGAAGTCAAACAAGGTTTATAGGGCGAGCCGAAGCTTTTACGAGTTTATATGCTGAGTGACACTCACACACAGCTGCAACGTCTTAAGTGACATACGCTACACAACAACTATTCATAGGAAATCGTAACCTATACTTCTATTATTAGAACCATACTCAGAATTGCAAAATGGTGAAACGCTTTTGACAAGTGCAGCGTTTTCTGTCCCGGAAGTTTACGTTTGTGAACAGCGCAAGTATATCTAAAGTCACCTAAATTCTGTCTTTAAAAGTCTTATCATTCAATGTCTTTTCGAAGACAATATATCAGTATTTCTTCATAAATATTTTACTTTACAGGAAAGCATAATATTGCGCAAGCAGAGAAAATAGTGTTACGTCCTATTTTTAATGTAGGGCTGTCATAAACCAATAGAATGCTTCCGTTTGTATTCTAAATCCCGTTTCATTAAAACTGAAAACGGTTGCAAGAAAATAGTCCTGTTCAGACTCTAAACATCGCATGCACCGCTCATTTACCTCAAAGGGAATACGTAGGTAAATTCGATTGTTGATGCATGGAGCTTTGTTGACAACATCGTGAAAAGAAAATTGACAATATTTGGAGTTTTCTGTGTCTGTCCTGGAAAATAATGGCTTCGGTGAGTACTTTCGAAGGTGACTTGTAAACCTCGACATAGGAAAATCGGTCTTACAAAATATGGCAGATCCGTATACACAATTCCATGTTATGCTTGACGTCAATCTCTTTATCCAGTCGACCAAAGCCAAGATCGTACAGACCAAGGAAGAAGAAGACAACAAACGTTTTAGTTTTACGTCATTGTGGATACACTCACACACAACATAACATGAGATATGTTATCACAATTATTCTAGTATTAATACCCATAGGATTTCTATCATGAATAGCATGTTAGACACTGGGGTTGTCACCATAGGATTTCTATGGCGATAACCAATTTGGGGACTACACTCTGTCACCTATTTTGCACTGGGTATATTTTTCTGTGAAATTCTAAATGTTACATGTGGCTCAGGATCTGAAAACATAGGTTATTGCTCAACTTGTAGTGTTATGATGGTTCTGCTTCAATGATTGGTTAATTGAGACTTGTTCTAATGGTATGATGAAGTCAGATTAAGCATTTTATTTAGTGAGATAACGCGAGTTAGGCATGGTGTAATGGTTGCAGAACTTTTTCAACATTACTTTTAAAAATCTATACAGAATTGTAAGCTAGACACTTCCCCCTTAAGAATAACGTCCAATTTACAATTTCATCAAGTTGTGAGGGCATGTTCGAATCTCCAGTGATGATGTCATGATGGAACAATGTTTTATCGTGAAATAAACCACACTTCGTTCTTCACCATGTGTTCACTGTTCTTTGTGATTTATTGCATAGCTGTCTTATATAAACAGATGTGCGGGTAGGCATTTCATGTAATGTATAGATAAGTGTAAATTAGTGATGGACTGGTACATCAGTGACTCGTGACACCCCATTAGCGCTCCTAAGACTTTATAGTACAGGTATTCAGGTTCAACACATTTCTATACCTTGAGCTTTGTAGTGATTCCATTGCAAATAAATTCCCAGTGCCACAGACCACCTCTGCGTTCATTAAAACTCTTCCATGTTTTTCTTCTCTGATACTGTCAGACATGTTTCACGCTCTGTGACGACAGAATTTAATGGATGTGACCAAATGTGTTCGTTTACCGATGCTGTCAGTTCCAATAGCATCTGTGAGGTGATTCCAATGAGAAAAGCTGTTACGACAATAATTACTGCATGTATATCGCATTTGAAAATATCCCTTTGCACTTGGTAGCTATACACACGATATTGCTTACAATAATTCCGATAATGCTTCTTTTCAATCAAATAGATAAGAAGGCCTGAATTTACATGGTGTAAATGGTAGACAGGTTCATATATAAAACTTTATGTCATTATGCTGAAGACAATTGTCTTTTCAGTCCACCATGATCGAGAAACCAACAACATCAGGATCAGCAAAGAAAAAATTTGATCGGCTGAGTCGACTCAGAGATTTGGAACTCAAAATGGTTTGTTTGTTTGTTTGTTTTCCTAGCTTTTAGCAAGATCACATGATGATATTTAATTAGTTAACCCATTGAAGCAACAAAATGATCCAACAGATCTTTTTGAGGCGATACATGAGGGAGTAATGTCCCTTTCACAGATCCTTCATCAAGGCTCAGGGCGGTCGGGTAGCCTAATGGTTAAAGCGTTCGCTCGTCACGCCGAAGACCCGGGTTCGATTCCCGACATGGGTACAATGTGTGAAGCCCATTTCTGTTGTCCCCCGCTGTGATATTGCTGGAATATTGCTAAAAGCGGCGTAAAATCAAACTTCACTCACTCACTCACTCATCAAGGCTCATCAAACCACAGAGCCTGTCCACGAACATTGTGTGACACTACCCATGTATTTGACCAACCCACTTGTAGATTTCCAAATCCATGATAGGATAAACATGATAAACTGATGGCAGTGGTAATCAGTGACTACTGGAACTGCACTTGCCATGATTTTAGAAATTTGCCAGGAACGGAGGTGACTGTGCCATCCCTTTTCCAAATACAGTCAAGTCTTGTTAATCCGACACTCGTTAATCCGACAATAGATTTTATGAGACACTAATGATATGAACCGATAAAATCATTGCTATTTAGACCCGTTAATCCGAAGTCTCGGACTCCGACTCCGACACACCCTAATTTGCAACGAATTACCGAAATCAGTCTTGTTAATCGGACACAGTGATCGGGATACTCCGTGGTCATCTGCCCGCGAGTACACAGCCCGTGTTTTGATGCGAGACAAGTCGGCTGGGAGCTGCATATTATAACAGCTGAAGAGATATCAACTTGCTAAACAATGAACAGTTAATACTTTAAATAAAGAATTAATCACATGCTTCATTTTTTATAACATGTTTGTATCGTTACCTTTCCTGTGATTGTCCGATTTTCGATCACGAATGTTGATACTACTTAATTTCGTTTATCCGACATACTCGGGAATCCGACATAATCATATGCAACCAACCATGTCGGATTAACGGGACTTGACTGTATGCTGCATGGGCAAAGGCTATTACGTAATGGAGGCAAAACGGAAAGTTTGTGAATCTAAAGCTGACTTGGGCATCATATATTTAACCTTTCGTGATTGAATAAAAACTTGATTCAAATAAAGAATACTCCCTTATATATATGTGGGAACCATTTCTTGCACATATAATATATTGGTAATATTGTTGTTGGCCCTGTCAGGTGTCCGGGATATAATTGGTCCCCAGCAACCTATGCTGGTCGTGAGAGGGTCGTAAAGGACTGGGAAATCTGACTCAATAACTTTGTTATTTGCATGTCATTGTGGTCTGACGGATTGATTTTGCTAGAAATAGATCACTGGATTGTCTGGTCCAGACTAGATTATTTACAGTCATACAGCTGAAATATTCCTGAGCGCTGCGATGAACAACAAACCAATATTATTGTTGTTGGTTTAGGGTCACCATGTTCATCAATGTCTTCTTGTTACCATGGTTACAGAATGAAGCCAGAAAGTTAAATCACCAGGAAGTTGTAGCTGAGGATGAAAGAAAGAAACGACCACAAAACTTTGAGGCAAAGAGGAAGAGGACAGACTGGGAGGAGGAAGTGGAGAAAAAGAAAAAGGTAACTGCTTTGTTGGACAAAGATCAGCATGGCCAGGGGGGAGCTACAGAGTTGTGTCCCTTATCTAAATCATTCATGCCAGTGCCATGTCTTATTGCACAGAGTTGTGTCCCTTGTCATGATCTGTTGGTTGTGATATTTAAATGTGAATAGACTGTCTAAATACTATTCCAAGTTATTACATTATTATTCCAATTACGGGGCATTGGGGTAGCCTAGTGGTTAAAGCATTCGCTCGTAAAGCCAAAGATACGGGTTCGATTCCCAATGTTGGTACAATGTGTAAAGCCTATTTCTGGTGTCCCCTGCCGTGATATTGCTGGAATATTGCTAAATGCGGTGTAGAACCTCACTCACTCACTCACTCACTCACTCACTCACTCACTCACTCACTCACTCACTCACTCACTCACTCACTCACTCACTCACTGTTCGTATTACAATTGCAGTTCGGTTTGTAATTATGACAACTGTATCACAACAGTTAATTATAAAACCTGAGAAGTGATAAATCCTGAAATTCTTCCAAGCCTTAGGTTACCTGTAACACCTGACAGACTGACTAACAGGCTGGATAACTAAAGGGCCGGTGCCAAGCTGCATGCTTGGGCCCCGTTCCACATAGCAATCATAGCACTAGGATGATCATATTTTAACATACGCTTACAATAGTCTTTGCACTTAGCAGCGGTAGAAATTGGCACTAGTCCTGTAGTCCTTGCCAAACTGGCCAATAGTTAAGGTATCATAAGGACTAGTAGAAATTTGCCATTTTAAGGGTTTTGCTATATGTTATCATTATAAGGACTAGTGGACTCTAACTGTTAGTTTCTACCGCTGCTTAGATCAGTGCTTTGTTGTAATGAAAGTTCATGTGTGAGTCACTGGGTCAAGATGTTGCATGTGTTTCTATCTCACTATGCAGGAGTGTGAGGACAGAGGAGAGATCTACGACAGAGTCAAGTTGCTGGAGGTCGGTGCTGACGAAGCCGAGAGGTGGGAGAGGAAGAAGAAGAAGAAAAACCCTGATACAGGATTCGCAGGTACATCTACCTCCATACTGATTCAGTATTTTATACCACTGGATTTGCAGCAGTGATTAATCATGTGGAGTGTAAGGTCATAGTAGACACTTTGTTGGCTTCCACCATCACCTCAAACCCCTCATCTGTCTCATGGTAACCATGGTAACACCTTTCCTTTCATGAGGACAGTAGATTTTTTCTGATGCTTATTGGCCATGATGATAACATTTGAAGCAAATCCCTTCTCCATTGTTCAACCTCAAAATACAAAATGAGATATAGTTTAATAAGTAATCAGTTGTGGTGTAATCCATCAATTTGAAATTTATTTTGTTTCAGCTAATGTAACATTGTATTTATAAGTAATATTTGTGTATATAGTTAAGAAACTTCATTTCAGACATATCCTGACTTTATTTCTGTTTTTGTAGACTACGAGCAGGCCACGTTCCGCCAGTACCAGACACTGACGAAGCAGATGAAACCCAACATGCAGGAGGTCGACCGACAGAAGGAGAAGCTGTGAGTGTCCTTTGCTTAATTTCAGACAACGATTGACAAAATAATTTGTCATCAACATTCTAGAGTAAAAAAAAAAGTAAAGTGTGCGTTGGGCATGCTGGATGTTCTGGAATTAATGGGGAGCGCAGTTAGCCAGTTGTGTCCCTTTGGGTCAACCAGAAACATATGATTGTGGGTTCGAACCCTGGTTCATTCACCCTGATTATATTTCTAGGTTGTCAGCACCATACCTGTGCTCGTGGGTCTAAGACCCACACCGCTTCAGGCTTTCCTCCCACATTAAGCTGACATGCTGTGATATATCTGGAATACAGTTAAAAGCGTCTTTAAACCAAACTCGATCACTTAGAACTGGGGATTATTTCTAGCTTTGTAAATTTGACACATATTGCATTTTCTGTCATCTGTTTTTTCACATGTTTTGATGATTTCTACAGTTATTGTACAGCTGATATAACGTCTGCTTCTCTACACAGTGGTGATAATTTCTACGCTACCTCCAACACGCTGGGCCTCCACCAGCAGAAGGACACCAAGGAGGCCGTGGACCGCATGGTGGAGGACCTGGAGAAACAGTCAGTACACTATTACTCCTCACAACAAACTGTCCTCAGACACTCCATGGGGATTCCTGGTTAATAGAATAGGTCCCAAGCAACATATCATTGTTATATGAGGCGACTGAATGAATTGGTTGGTTAGACTCTGTGGCTTTGTATCATAGTGCCATGACAGGGTGGGTGGTTGCTAGGGCTGGGACGGGTAACTCAGGTACTCAGGTCGGGTGGTTCATGAGTAGGACCCGGATACCCACCAGACTACCCGGACCCGTGGTTAGTCATGTGATATATTGTTTAATTGCAAACATTATCTAGAACTTCCACGGTTACACTATAAGTGACAAATGTTCAATTCTCTTTCTGATTAAATCCTCCTTGGGGCACTTATTGCATTTTCCTTGCTCAAGAAAATCTATATGACATAGTTGTAACCATTTTCCTTAATAAAAATGTTACCACACAAAAAACTTCGTTTTTGTATGATATACGACCACCCTTACGGGGCCTCACCCCCAACGGCGCCTCACGCCAGGGGGAGCAACTCTCACCCAAATCACTTTCCTTATGTCATCTGTAAGAGACAGACGTGTTGATTTTTCACACAAGACAAAAATAAGAGAAATCTATCGTTCGACAAGAACCATGGCTGACCAAACTGTATGTATGGTACATTTCTTTCATTGCAAAGGCGTAATACCTCGCATTGTGAAGTTATAGAGTTGTAATAATACGCCACGTGCACGGTACCTTTGAATTCAAATGGCCGTAATGGCGTCCATATTGTAGTTCCACGGGCTGATACATGTAACACCAAGGCCATTAAGAAACGGCTTGGGGTTTTGTTATATCATACAGCATTGGTCTACAATTTTTTCCTTTACAAAACCCAAGGTGGTGTGTTAATTCATAAACTACACTTACCTTTTTTTACGGGTTTTTACACCTTAGCGCGTAACACGCCCCTTTGGTGTTATAATTATACTACGACATTGGCTATTAGTATCGCGTTACAAATCGCATTCTACATTACGCCTTTGCTTCTAGTTTCACAATTTATGCACGTTTCTTTCCGATCTTTATATCGCACTGATACACGTTGATACCCTTCCCGCCCACCTCAGAAATTACGGTCTTGTTTACAAGACCTTCAAACTGTGTACGGGTTGTTCTAAGACAGGCACGAACGCTGCCTAATATGTCTGGCGGAGGACATTGCCTTTACCCCCCGGGGCCCCCCAAAAGAGACAAGTTGACTTGTTCCACTTTAAAGAGGTCTATTAAAGGCGGGGGTAGATATCAGATCTACTAAGACATCCCCCCCCCCCCCCCCCCCCCTCCACATCTAAAAAGGGTAAAAAAGCTGCCGAGATTGTCTCCCCCGCTCCCTCTCCGGGGGCCGGGGGAGAAGGCTCGAGGGTCCCCGTAGTAAGCACTGCACCCTCTCCTGCACTGTCTTTGGCAGACTTTTCTGCGTTACTTAAGTCGCAGATGTCGTCGATGATGGAGGAGGTAAAGTCTCAGCTCCGAGAGGAGATGCGGACCGAGCCTTCCCCGTTGTCGGCGCCGGACGCGGCTTCGAGACCTTGTGATATGCCCGGCGTCGGCCGAGGCAGGCAACTTGGTCTCGGGGACGATCTCAGACCGGGCTTCGGCGCCGGCTCGAGGTCGCTCCCCAGCGGAGGGGTGGCGGGCGCCGGCCCGTGCACTACCGACGCACAATTTTTCCCTAGCGGAGCCAGACGCCTCTTCCGAGGCCGAGGCTTTCACTAGTGGATTCGTAGCCCAGAGCCAGGGGGGTTCCCTTGGTCTCGGGGACGATCCGAGACCGAGCTTCGGCTCCGGCTCGAGGTCGCTCCCCAGCGTAGTGGTGGCGGGCACCGGCCCGTGCACTACCGACGCACAATTTTCCCTAGCGGAGCCAGACGCCTCTTCCGAGGCCGAGGCGTCCACTAGTGGATACCTAGCCCGGAGCCAGGTTGGTTCCCTTTGTCTCGGGGACGATCCGAGACCAAGCTTCGGCTCCGGCTCGAGGTCGCTCCCCAGCGTAGTGGTGGCGGGCACCGGCCCGTGCACTACCGACGCACAATTTTCCCTAGCGGAGCCAGACGCCTCTTCCGAGGCGAAGGCTTTCACTAGTGGATACCTAGCCCAGTGCCAGGTCGGTTCCCTTGAACCTCCGGCACCTCGGCACCTCGGCACCTCGGCACCGGGACTCGGCCTCGGGCCGGGTGCAGAGACACGTGCGGGACAGGATTGTCCATGTACTTCCTCAGGTGGCTGCGCCCATGCCAGAGTCGGAGACACCCAACTTGACTAAGGTCAAGCAGGGCCGGCGGTTGCCCCCCCCCCCCCTTTCCCGTGTGCGGTGCGGAGTTGAAGGCTGCTTACATATGCTTCGAGGAGCAATATCATAATGCATGCCAACAGCTCCGTGTGTCCGTACACTCCGCGTATCTGTCGGCTGTACAGAGGGAGAGGGGCCGGCCGACTCTTCGGAGTTGGCCGCGCAACTAACATTATCTTGCGCGGGACGCTATTCGTAGCTGTGCCTCGCAGATGATCTGCGCTGTTATGTGCATGCGCAGGCGGTGGATGTCGGTATCTAAATACTCGACTTACACACGCCAAGACCTACTTGCTTTGCCGTATAAGAGGGTGCCACCCTCTTCCCTGGGGCTCAGCAGGCGGTCCGAGAGGCTGCTCAATTGTATACTTCCATCAAAGACTCATAAGGCCTTGTTGGAGGTACCAAGCGTTAAAACCGCGTAAGCGGGCCTCTCCAATTGTCCCCTCCTACGCTAACGCACGGGTCAGACGTCCACACCTGCTTGGAAGCCGCCGCTTCCTTCAGGTATAAGGGCGCCGGGAGGAGCAAGAGAGGCACGGACCGGGGCAAGGCAGCTGGTCGAGGCCAACAGCTTTTTCGCGGGGCTTCTACCCGAGAGAAGGCGGAATTCCTCCGTGCCGAGGTCGACGCACTTCTTATGAAAGCTGCGATCGAACCGGGTCCCGAGGGACAGGAAAGCGAGGGCTTCTACTCGACTTGTTTCCTAGTCACCAAACAGTGATCTCAACTGTCGAGACAGGAGAATGGCTAACGTCAATAGACTTAAAATACGCCTATCTCCACATACCAATACACCCCGAGTTCAAGAAATACCTGAGGTTTTCTTTCGACGGGAGGTGTTATCAGTTCAGGGTTCTACCATTCGGGATCTCCACGGCCCTGAGGGTGTTCACCAAGCTGATGTTGATTCCCGCCCAAGTGGCCAGGTCAAAAGGTCGGTTCTGCCATCCGTACCTCGACGACTGGTTACTAAAAGCTTTATTGCAATCCCTGAGTCAGATAGCTACACAACAAGTGATAGATATTCTGATCACTCTAGGGTGGATGGTCAATCTCAAGAAGTCAGATCTGAGCCCCACTCAGAATCTAGTCTTCCTAGTGGCTAATTTCAACACGGTGAGAGGACGTGTATCTCTGTCACAAGATATCAAGTCCCTTAAGCGCAAGTCACACTGCTCGTACATGGCTCCAGTTACTGGACAACATGGCGGCGACAGTGGATTTGGTCTGGCGGGCGCGCTTGAGAATGAGACCCATTCAACAAGCACTCCGTCGACTTTGGGCGAACTCGGAAGATCTCGAGACTGTGCTCGAGACTCCGTAGTGGCTCATTACACACCTCCAGTGGTGGACCGAGGTCGGGAATCACTCCCGTTCCGTCTCTCACAGTTCAAACAGACGCGTCACTCTCCGGCTGGGGAGGCGTTCTGAATGATCACACTGCCTCGGGACTATGGTCCCAGCAGGAGATCAAACTGCATATCAATGTGCTAGAACTGAGAGCGGTCAGGTTGGTGTTCCAACGCTTCCCGGATCTGCTTCATGGCCAAGTGGTTCGTCTAGAGATGGACAACCAAACGGCGATGACTTACATCCGGAAGCAGGGGGGAACGGCGTCTCCGTCGCTTCGACGAAAGACGTGGCAGTTCCTACTATAGTGCGACTCTCACGATATCAGGGTGCTACCTGTTTATCTCCCGGGGGTGGACAACGTCCGTGCGGACGCTCTGTCTTGCCGGATCCTCGCTCCTCACGAGTGGAGGCTCGACCCGGGGATATTCGGGATTTTCTCCCTGTTATACAGGTCGTTACAGGTGGATCTGTTTGCGTCTGGGTCTACAATTTTTTCCTTTACAAAACCCAAGGTGGTGTGTTAATTCATAAACTACACTTACCTTTTTTTACGGGTTTTTACACCTTAGCGCGTAACACGCCCCTTTGGTGTTATAATTATACTACGACATTGGCTATTAGTATCGCGTTACAAATCGCATTCTACATTACGCCTTTGCTTCTAGTTTCACAATTTATGCACGTTTCTTTCCGATCTTTATATCGCACTGATACACGTTGATACCCTTCCCGCCCACCTCAGAAATTACGGTCTTGTTTACAAGACCTTCAAACTGTGTACGGGTTGTTCTAAGACAGGCACGAACGCTGTCTAATATGTCTGGCGGAGGACATTGCCTTTACCCCCCGGGGCCCCCCAAAAGAGACAAGTTGACTTGTTCCACTTTAAAGAGGTCTATTAAAGGCGGGGGTAGATATCAGATCTACTAAGACATCCCCCCCCCCCCCCCCCCCCTCCACATCTAAAAAGGGTAAAAAAGCTGCCGAGATTGTCTCCCCCGCTCCCTCTCCGGGGGCCGGGGGAGAAGGCTCGAGGGTCCCCGTAGTAAGCACTGCACCCTCTCCTGCACTGTCTTTGGCAGACTTTTCTGCGTTACTTAAGTCGCAGATGTCGTCGATGATGGAGGAGGTAAAGTCTCAGCTCCGAGCCTTCCCCGTTGTCGGCGCCGGACGCGGCTTCGAGACCTTGTGATATGCCCGGCGTCGGCCGAGGCAGGCAACTTGGTCTCGGGGACGATCTCAGACCGGGCTTCGGCGCCGGCTCGAGGTCGCTCCCCAGCGGAGGGGTGGCGGGCGCCGGCCCGTGCACTACCGA